GAGAGAGGGCTAGAAAATGTATTTGAGCAAATCGTAGCTGAGAACTTCCCTAATCTGGGGAATGAAACAAACATTCCAGTCCTAGAGGCAGAGAGGACCCCTCCTAAGATCAAGGAAAACAGGCCAACACCCCGGCATGTAATAGTAAAACTTGCAAATCTTAGAACCAAGGAAACCATCTTAAGGGCAGTTAAGGGGAAGAGATTCCTTACGTACAGAGGCAGGAACATCAGAATAACGTCAGACCTATCCAGAGAGACCTGGCAAGCCAGAAAGGCCTGGCAAGACATATTCAGGGTACTAAATGAGAAGAACATGCAGCCAAGAATACTTTATCCGGCAAGGCTTTCATTTAGAATGGATGGAGAGATGCAGAGCTTCCACGACCGGCAGAAGTTGAAAGAATATGTGCCCACTAAGCCGGCCCTGCAAGAAATATTAAGGGGGGGTTCTATAAAAGAAGACAGACCCCAAGAGTGATCTACAACAGAAATTTACAGGGACAATCTATAAAAACATCTTCACAGGCAATACGATGACAATTAATTCATATCTTTCAATAATCACTCTCAACGTGAATGGCCTAAACGTTCCCATAAAACGGCACAGGGTTGCAGATTGGATAAAAAGACAGGACCCATCCATATGCTGTCTACAAGAGACTCATTCTGAACCTAAAGATACATCCAGACTGAAAGTGAAGGGATGGAGATCCATCTTCCATGCCAGCGGACCTCAAAAGAAAGCTGGAGTAGCAATTCTTATATCAGACAAATTAGATTTTAAACTAAAGTCTGTAATAAGAGACACAGAAGGACACTATATCATTCTTAAAGGGTCTATCCAACAAGAAGATCTAACAATTGTAAATATCTATGCCCCCAACATGGGAGCAGCCATATACATAAGCCAACTGTTAACCAAAATAAAGAGTCATATTGATAACAATACATTAATTGTAGGAGACCTCAATACTCCACTCTCAGCAATGGACAGATCCTCTAAGCAGAAAATCAACAAGGAAACAAGAGCTTTGAATGATACATTGGACCAGATGGACCTCATAGATATTTACAGAACATTCCACCCTAAAACAACAGAATACTCATTCTTCTCAAGCGCACATGGAACTTTCCCCAGAATAGACCATATACTGGGTCACAAATCAGGTCTCAACCGATACCAAAAGATTGAGATTATTCCCTGCATATTCTCAGACCACAATGCTCTAAAACTGGAACTCAATCACAAGAAACAATTTGGCAGAAATTCAAACACTTGGAAGCTAAAGACCACTCTGCTCAAGAATGTTTGGGTCAACCAAGAAATCAAAGAAGAACTTACACAATTCATGGAAATCAGTGAGAACGAAAATACATCGGTCCAAAACCTATGGGATACTGCAAAGGCGGTCCTAAGGGGGAAATACATAGCCATCCAAGCCTCACTCAAAAAAATAGAAAAATCCCGAATTAACCAACTGACTCTACACCTTAAAGAACTAGAGAAAAAGCAACAAACGACGCCTAAGCCACGCATTAGAAGAGAAATAATTAAAATTAGAGCAGAAATCAATGAATTAGAAACCAGAAACACAGCAGATCAGATCAATGAAACTAGAAGTTGGTTCTTTGAAAGAATTAATAAGATTGATAAACCACTGGCCAGACTTATCCAAAAGAAGAAAGGACCCAAATTAATAAAATTATGAATGAAAGGGGAGAGATCACGACTAACACCAAGGAAATAGAAACAATTATTAGAAACTATTATCAACAACTATATGCCAATAAACTGAGCAATCTGGATGAAATGGAGGCCTTCCTGGAAATCTATAAGCTGCCAAGACTGAAACAGGAAGAAATTGACAACCTGAATGGGCCAATAACCAGTAACGAGATTGAAGCAGTGATCAAAAACCTCCCCAAAAACAAGAGTCCAGGGCCTGATGGATTCCCTGGGGAATTCTACCAAACATTCAAAGAAGAAATAATACCTATTCTACTGAAGCTGTTTCAAAAAATAGAAACAGAAGGAAAAGTTCCAAACTCATTCTATGAGGCCAGGATTACCTTAATCCCCAAACCAGGCAAAGACCCCATCAAAAAGGAGAATTTCAGACTGATATCCCTGATGAATATGGATTCCAAAATCCTCAACAAAATCCTAACTAATAGGATCCAACCATACATTAAAAGGATACTCTACCACGACCAAGTGGCATTTATCCCTGGATGCAAGGGTGGTTCAACATTCGCAAATCAATCAATGTGATAGAACACATTAATAAGAGGAGGGAGAAGAACCATATGGTCCTCTCAGTTGATGCAGACAAAGCATTTGACAAAATACAACATCCTTTCCTGATTAAAACTCTCCAGAGTATAGGGATAGAGGGAACATTCCTCAAACTCATAAAATCCATCTATGAAAAACCCACAGCGAATATCATCCTCAATGGGGAAAAGCTGAGAGCCTTTCCCTTAAGATCAGGAACATGTCAAGGGTGCCCACTCTCACCACTGTTGTTCAACATAGTACTAGAAGTCCTAGCAACAGCAATCAGACAACAAAAAGAAATAAAAGGTATTCAAATTGGCAAAGAAGAAGTCAAACTCTCTCTTTTTGCAGACGACATGATACTTTATGTGGAAAACCCAAAAGACTCCACCCGCAAATTACTAGAACTCATCCAGCAATTCAGTAATGTGGCAGGATACAAAATCAATGCACAGAAATCAGTTGCTTTCTTATACACTAACAACGCAACTGTAGAAAGAGAAATTAAAGAAACGATTCCATTTACAATAGCACCAAAAACCATAAGATACCTTGGAATAAACCTAACCAAAGAGGTAAAGGATCTATACTCTAGGAACTACAAAACACTCATGAAAGAAATTGAAGAAGACACAAAAAGATGGAAAAATATTCCATGCTCATGGATCGGAAGAATAAACATTGTTAAAATGTCTATGCTACCCAGAGCAATCTATACCTTCAATGCCATCCCAATCAAAATTCCAATGACATTTTTCAAAGTGCTGGAACAAACAATCCTAAAATTTGTATGGAATCAGAAAAGACCCCAAATCGCCAAGGAGATGTTGAAAAGAAAAACAAAGCTGAGGGCATCACGTTGCCCGATTTCAAGCTATATTACAAAGCAGTGATCACCAAGACAGCATGGTACTGGCACAAAAACAGACATACAGACCAGTGGAACAGAATAGAGCCCAGATATGGACCCTCAACTCTATGGTCAAATAATCTTTGACAAAGCAGGAAAAAACATGCAATGGAGAAAAGACAGTCTCTTCAATAAATGGTGCTGGGAAAATTGGTCAGCCACATGCAGAAGAATGAAACTCCACCATTCTCTAACACCATTCACAAAGATAAACTCAAAGTGCATGAAAGACCTCAATGTGAGACAGGAATCCATCAAAATCCTAGAGGAGAACATAGGCAGTAACCTCTTTGACATCAGCCACAGCAACTTCTTTCAAGATACATCTCCAAAAGCTAGTGAAACAAAAGCAAAAATGAACTTTTGGGACTTCATCAAGATAAAAACCTTCTGCACAGCAAATGAAACAGTCAACAAAACAAAGAGGCAACCCACAGAATGGGAGAAGATATTTGCAAATGACACTACAGATAAAGGGCTGGTATCCAAAATCTATAAAGAACTTCTCAAACTCAACACCCAAAAAACAAATAATCAAGTCAAAAAGTGGGCAGAAGGGATGAACAGACACTTCTCTGAAGAAGACATACAAATGGCTAACAGACACATGAAAAAATGTTCATCATCATTAGCCATCAGGGAAATTCAAATCAAAACCACACTGAGATACCACCTTACACCAGTTAGAATGGCAAAAATGGACAGGGAAAGAAACAACAAATGTTGGAGAGGTTGTGGAGAAAGGGGAACCCTCTTACACTGTTGGTGGGAATGCAAGTTGGTACAGCCACTTTGGAAAACAGTGTGGAGGTTCCTCAAAAATTTAAAAATAGAGCTACCCTATGACCCAGCAATTGCACTCCTGGGTATTTACCCCAAAGATACAGATGTAGTGAAAAGAAGGGCCATATGCACCCCAATGTTCATAGCAGCAATGTCCGCAATAGCCAAACTGTGGAAAGAGCCAAGATGCCCTCCAACAGATGAATGGATAAAGAAGATGTGGTCCATATATACAATGGAATATTACTCAGCCATCAGAAAAGATGAATACCCAACTTTTACATCAACATGGATGGGACTGGAGGAGATTATGCTAAGTGAAATAAGTCAAGCAGATAAGGTCAATTATCATATGGTTTCACTTATTTGTGGAACATAAGGAATAACATGGAGGACATTAGGAGAAGGAAGGGAAAAATGGGCGGGGGGAATTGGAGGAAGAGATGAACCATGAGAGACTATGGACCTGAGAAACAAACAGGGTTTTAGAGGGGAGGGGGGAGGGGGGATGGGTTAGCCCAGTGATGGGTATTAAGGAGGGCACGTACTGCATGGAGCACTGGGTGTTATACGGAAACAATGGATCGTGGATCACTACATCAAAAACTAATGATGTATTAGAATGGTGACTAACATAACATAATAAAATTAAAAACTACAAAAAAATAATAATAATATTGAACCAAAGAACAAACATTAAAAAGAATATGATTCACCATTTTTATACAGCTCAAAAACAGGTAAAACTCAACTATCCTGGTTTAGGCATACACAAAAGTGGCAAAGCTATTTATTAAAAAAAAAAAAGGGCGCCTGGGTGGCTCAGCTGGTTAAGCGACTGCCTTCGGCTCAGGTCATGATCCTGGAGTCCCGGGATCGAGTCCCTCATCAGGCTCCCTGCTCAGCAGTGAGTCTGCTTCTCCCTCTGACCCTTCTCCCTCTCATGCTGTCTCTCTCTCATTCTCTCTCTCGCAAATAAATAAAATCTTAAAAAAAAAAAAAGGAAGAGACTAACATAAGTCAGGCTAATAGCTACCCCTTGGGGGAAGGGACATGGGGGGGTGTATTTGGGAGTGCTGGTGATGTTCTACTTTTTTTATTGCTGCATATGTATTCACCATTATACTTGACATTTATGGTTTATACCCTTTTTAGCATGTGTTATATTTTACAATAAACAAGATTAGTAAATAAATGAAAAAGGAAAATATCCAACAGCTATTAATTAAAAGAAAGGACAAACCTGCATTCAAGGTGAAATGCATGAGTAGCAACAGAGCTATTAATTGAGAAAATATTATCAACTATGAGTTTATAAGTACATGTAAGTAGGCTTGAAATACATAAAACAAATTTGACAAATCCAGAGAAATTTTAGTATCTCCCATAAACTAACAAATCAAGAAGACAAAAAAATTGATAGGAAAATTTAAACAATTTAATTGATAGTATATATCAAACAGAGATGAGGCTTTTTTTTTAAGCAACATGTGTAATAGGTATAAATTTCATCACATAGAAAATCACAAAGTCTCAACAAATTCCCAAAGACCTGATACCAAAAAAAAAAAAAAAAGTTCTCTGACTACAATGCAATAAAATTAGAAAAAAATAATGAAAAGACAACCTAAGAAACCCTATATATTTTCAGACTTAATACTTCTAAACTTCCACTTTTAACCAGGATGGAGTAACAGAAGCCAAATTTACCCTTCTACCTGTACCAACCAGAACCAAAACAAAACAAAGAATAGACAAAATGTATGAAACAGTTTTCAAGACACTGGATATCAGGTATATGTCCATACAAAGATCTGAACAACATGAATGTTTATAGCAGTTTTATTCATAGTAGTAAAAAACTCAAAATACCTAAAATCTCCATCAATAAGTGAATGGATAAACAAACTGTGGTATACTCATACAACAGAATACTACACAGCAATAAAAAGGAATGAACTGTTAATAAATGCAACATGCAAAAATCTCAAAATAATTATGCTGAGTAAAAGAGGCCAGACAAAAAAAGAAATCAATTGTATGACTCCATTTACATGAAATCCCATAAAATGCAAATGAGTCTATAGTGACAGGGAGAGCAGATCAGTTGTTGCTTAGGGGTAAGCGGGGGCTGGGTAGGATTACCAAGGGCAAAGAGGTCACTTTTGGAGAGATGAGGTATGTTTAGTATTTTGATTGTGGTGATGGTTTCACAGGTATATATGTGTGTGTATCAGAACTTACCAAATTGTATACTTCAAATATGTACAGCTTATTAGTCAATTATATATCAATTAAAATGTAAAAAAAAAAAGGACCTAAACAATAATTGCAGTACTTTACTTGTATTTTAAATAATTAAAACTGGATAAAAGTAGATCTAACAGAGTCCACAGTTCTTCCTCCTAGTGGCACTGTCCCGCTCAGTGACCCTCCAAAAAAAACTCTGAGGCTTCTGAGGAAGAGTTTGAAAACCTGTTTTAAACTAAGAGCTAACCAGAGGCTCTTAAACTAGCTAACAAAATTTAAATTAACATAATTTTTAAATTATATTTCTTCCTTTCAAATACTGTTAGATTTACAAACTGCCTCATAGCAATTTCTTGGAGTAATCTAATCAACTAAGAGTATTTACATTATTGAATAACAAAGAATTTTAAATCTAGAAAGAGACTAGGCCTGCTAGATATACAAGAATGGCGAGGGAGGGGGGTGCGGTAACACTGGCCCCTTAAAAAACCAGACTGAATATTGAGAACAGAGAATAAGCAGAAGGCAGCAAGAAAAGTATTCTTATATAAAATAAAATGCAGCAAGGCTCAGCCTTGTAAGAAAATATGATTCATTATTTGTGCGTAATATAAATAAGTCACTGAGGACACTTATATTTGGAAATTCTTCACAAAAACTTTATTTAAGATTTCATTTCCTTATAAAAAGTATATTACAAGATTGCAAAAAGATACTTTTTTTGATGAGAGACTACTATCTACTTATCTATATTACCTCATAATTCATTTCCTATCCTAACACAATGATAAAACATTTTTTCCTTTTCTTCCTCCTGCTTTGAAAAGGCAAGTGCCATGAGGGATATCTTAATAGAATGTGCCATTTCCTTGCCAGGAAAGCAATAGGTTCTTATTGGCTGAATTCAAGAGAGCCACTGGCAATCCTTGTTCCCAGAATCAAAAAGGCCACTAAACCCTCAACTTAAATACAACCTTTTTATTATTTGCAACCTCTCTGAGTTTGTTTTACTCACACATTAGATTTTAAAACAGTCTTAGACTTTAAGCACTGAAGAATTGCTTAAGAAATGTTTAAATGACTTAAAGTCAACTTACACTTTAGCTTACAATGTTTTCTATATAAGAATCTCAAAGTTAATAAAAATATAGATGCGAAGGACCCAATACTAAGAAGGGGATGAATTCTGAGAGTAAATACATTTATAACCCTGTCTCAAAGCAAGATCAATCCTATAAAATACTCAGAATGTTAAGAATGCAATTTACACAGTAAAAATGATTTGATTTGTTTTCAGTATGAAAGTATTTTTAATTTCTTTACTGCAGGTACAATGGCATCCAAGTCATCAATTTCTGTAACAGAAAAACATGAATAAGGAAAGAGTAGCTTTATCTAGTGATAGGCTCAGATGAAATGAGAATCTCTATGCAAAGCAAACCTCAAACACAAAGGCAACAACATTAGCTCTTTTATGCACATGAAATTTTTCTCTAATAGTGATGATAAGAGTGTCACTGATTCAGACACAGATGCTTCATAGGGCATCTGTTTGTAAAGCTACCCTATACCTACAAGTATCCTCTGACTCTGATAATAATCTCATTAGCAGTGTGCTCTTATTAAGCGATCCTACTGGCCACATTTGTGATATGTCATTGCTGCTTTAAATCCATGTAATTACATGGGTGAGCCTACATGGTGAAATCCTAGGTGAAAGCTGTCTCTTTTCTGGGTCCCTATCTGAGCACTTAATGATTTCTTCTCATGGAACACAGTCCTCTCCTTAATTCTATTGGAAAAATTTCTCATTAGTAGGATCATTCTTAGGTCTACCTTTTAGGATGAAACATATCTACGTAATAAAAAGTGTGAGACAAAGTACAAATCTCAAATGCAATGTGCTGAAGAGCTTAGTCTGGTCCAGCTTACTAGATCAACTAGTTCAGGTTCTTCTCTGCCAGATTCTTTGTGAATTTGATTTCTCTTTCTAAAACTGTCTTCTTCCAACTAGCCTGTTAAATTCACTGTCTGAAAGCTCTTGGCCACTGGAGAAGCAAGGTCCTTTTCTCTCATTATCTAGGCTCCAGCACTACAAGCCCCAGTGGCAAGTTCTCTAGATTCTTAACACTTTTTTCTACCTTATTCTGCTGGGCCACTGTTTATAAACTCATTTTCCTTTATATAAAACATGCTTCCTTAGGTTCTACCTCTCTTCCTCCATGTTTAGCTGAATTCTGGTTGCTTTTCCTTTAACCTAAACGTATAGCCCATGCTACTTAAGCTCCTGACTTCAGTCAGAATACTTGTCTAGATCCACTTACAAAGTGTCAAGATACCAGAAAAAAATATAAGCAAGTCTACAACAGAGAATTTGATTCACACCTTGCATCACCTGTTTTCTCACTAAATGAGATACCTGCCTTATAAATGAACCTTGCAGAGAAGGATCTTGGCTAATACGAGATCACACCACTTATATGAGAAAAACAAAGTCCTTCTCCACATCTGGTATTCAGTACAACACTCTGTAGTTGATGCTTAAAATGACATCTAGTAATAAAAATAGTTATATTTGCCAATCAGATTTAACTTTCCCAATGTTAAGTGTCATTTTTAATTCCAGAATTTCAACTGTGACATAAATAGAGTTCATCTGCAGGGAGACATGGCTTCTTGAAGTAAATGATCCCCCATGAACCATGAGGTCATAATATCTGAGAGGAAGTTTCTATAAAAGGATTCTAAAATAAGTGTTACCCGCACACCTATTAAAATGTTTATTAATGATGAGAACTTCCCTGTTTAACTGCTACCCCAAAGCAAGTAAAATCATATTATTCTATGAAACTAGGGTCTTCGGGATATGAGGCAACACATTTCTACAATTTCATGTCTCATCTTAAGTTTAGCTTTCAAATTACATTTTCCCTTGCTATGATCTTTTCAAACATATGAGCATGCCTAAAGCACATTCAGTCACTGTCTCCCTTGCTTCCACAGTCTACATAAAACTGGCCACAAAACTTCCTTTATGTTTACCAGGCTAGATACTCCAGTCAGATGCTTCTTTTCATTTATTCATCTTCTTACCAAATTTTAATTTACTCATTCCCTTATCTTCTACTAAACCTCATTTCCTCTTCTAATTTAATTTTATTATTTTTTTTATGTGAGCTCTCTGCCCAGTGTGGGGCTTGAACTCATGACCCCAAGATCAAGAGTTGCATGCTCTTCCCACTGAGCCAGCCGGGCGCCCCTCTTCTTCTAATTTAATTTCCTATGTCAAGGAGGCATTCTTTAAAAAAAATCTTTCAAATAAACTATATAAAAAAAAATTCATCAGTGAATAAATCACTTTAAACCTTAAAAAGTGTTCTTAATAGTAAGATAAATTACTTTTATAGCCATATATAATCACACTTAAAATAAGAGCCTTGGGTTTCTATTTTGCCTATGATTCCTAAGCAAATTACATTTTTCCCTTTAAAAGATAATACTAATAACAAAACCCTCAATCTGACCAAGAATACAAATATATCTTTTTCCTTCTACAGATTTATAAATTTATCTTTTTTTTTTTATGGATGTTTACTTTACATTACTTATCACCTGAGAAAGAAATTTAATTTGTATATTTTAAATAACACAGTAGGTAAGTTCTATCTTAAAAAAAAAAGAAGGCATGGGGCGCCTGGGTGGCTCAGATGGTTAAGCGTCTGCCTTCGGCTCAGGTCATGATCCCGGGGTCCTGGGATCGAGTCCCACATCTGGCTCCTTGCTCAGCAGGAAGCCGGCTTCTCCCTCTCCCACTCCCCCTGCTTGTGTCCCCTCTCTCGCTGTCTCTCTCTCTGACAAATAAATAAATAAAATCTTTAAAAAAAAAAAAAAAACTAAACACCTTCAAGATCATAAATTCTATGAAGATTTCTCATTAGACCACGCCAGAGTCAGGGTTAACCTGGGCCTAACCAAAGTAAGACCATTTCTCATTTTATGGTTTCAAAGTAAAGGCAGCCTCTAGCTCTTTAAAGGATATGTGCTTCTCTGTTTTGTAGACCACACCAACCAACTCTAATTACAAGTTAGGAGTGTATTTCCAGAACTGTTAGTGGTTTTTAGATACTTTCTACCAAAACACTCTAGGTAAAAGCACTAATACAGCGACTAAGGAACACTCATCCCTCAAACCCACTGACATCTTAAGACTCGAAATTTAACCACCACCAACAAAGAGCTTACCTAAGATTTCAAGTAGATCATTAGTAAATGCCTGAAATGCTGGGAAAAATTCCTCATGTTCTTCCAGTTTGTTGATAATACTTTAAAAAAAAAATGCACAGTTTACACTGAATTTCCAACTTAAGGTTCTTGCATCTGATTGAAATAAAACATTCTCAAAATGGAAAGAAATTTCCTAATTTCAGTATAAATTTAATAATCATTTACTGCAATCCTTGTTCATCTAATACCACTTTTCTAAAACAAAACAAAACAAAAAACCAAACTCTTATTAATCATTGTAAACATGTGTCCCAAAGTTAAATTTAACATTCCTAATGTGGAAGATTTTCCATTTAGCTTGAGAATTTTCAAGAGAACTTGCTTTTTAACATTTGCTAAAAATTGTTTTTTATATCCCATATTCTATTAAACATTAAGAATAAGTATCAGTCATCAGTATAAATGTGGGAAAGGGGAAAAAGACCAATAGTGAGACATACATTCCTTTTAAAAGCATCAAGTATGAGAAAACTCAAGTGTCAGATCTTCCTAGGATACTTGCAGAATATATGGAATGGGTGGTATATGTCTGTGTTCCTCTTCCCATACGTTGTAGTATGAAATTGGTGGGGGGGGGGGGGAAGCGTTGCTTTAATATGTTTCCATATTTTAAAAAAACATCAGTTTTATTTTAGAGATGACTAGCTTTTAAAAAAACTCGTTAACATTTACTTTCTAATCAAATAATAAATACACTGGTAGCAATTACTAAGCGACCTATAGTAGTGTACTAAAAATAAGACTTGTTTATATACTCTGAATACTAACATGAAGTTGCTAACAAGGTGTGAATTTCTCCATATATAATTTCCCCTGGGAACAGGCTTATAGCAATAATGCTGGAGTCCTGACCCACCCTATGTAAACTTACAGGCCCTACGATCTATTTTTATCTTGAAAATACTTGGCATTCTCTCCATCAATAAGGTGTGAGATTATTTTAGACTGTCAAATTATTTAAAAGATGCTATCCCAAACAGGAAAGATAAATAACTTATGAAGTTCTGAAAGTCTTTAATTTCACCAATCCAAGCATTGTGGAAGATACTTTTTAAAATAAATACCTTTGGAGGTCTTCAGGTCCCAATACCTGCATAACCTGTTCATTCACATCCTCATTAATCAGCCTACACAATTTTCCAACTGTGTTCACCAACACACACAATGAAGATGAACTATCTGAAAGAGAGAAATAAAAGGATATTTTTAAAAAATATTTATTTATTTGACAAAGAGAGAAAGAGAGCACAAGCAGGGGGAGCAGTAGAAGGAGAGGGAGAAGCAGGCTCCCCGCCAAGCAGGGAGCCCGATGTGGGGCTCGATCCCACGACCCTGGGATCATGACCTGAGCCGAAGGCAGATGCTTAACCATCTGAGCCACCCAGGCGTCCCTAAAAGGATATTTTAAAAGAGAATTTCATCATCATTAAATCAAACATTTTATGCTTTAGTTATCCTCAATTTTCTTACTTTTCAATTTTTTAACCTACTTTTTGTTGATTTATTAGGAATAATTCTTAAACAGGGGCCAGAAAGGACAAAGAGTCATCACCTAATTCTAAGAGTTCTTGGAGGTTTCTCACAGCATTGTTCATTTCTCCAAGCCTAGTATAAACTTCATTCATTCGAGGATAGACTCCATTTAAAGAAGGCACATCAAATAACTTTTGGAAGTGAGAAACAATAGCTTGCAAAGTTTTTAAGTTTGGCATATTGCTGTCCTGTCCAAAAGAGGGAGAAACAGTTCACATGTTAAAATAATCCCAAGACATTAAAAAAAACTTTAAAAAGAGAAAAAGAATCTTAGTAGAACAAATACCAATATCTGTATCACTATCAGTTTTTAAGATAAGATTACATTAAAATGTGAACATTTACATAAGTATTATGCATTACCTTTTCCTTATTTTCAACTTCTTCTAACATGGTATCTACTATAAACAACAGATCTTCAATTCTGATACCTTCATTTTCATCCTGCTTTTTTAAATTATGCCAAGGCACCAGTTCTGCAGATAGTATTTTCAAGGACTTATACAAATCCTTTATAACAAAAGAAACAACATGGTATTATTGACCTTAAAAAAGTTTCCATAATAATGCTAATAAAATATAATTATCCAGGCAGTTTTAATATATATAAACCATCATCAGTACTTTTTAAAAATACCATTGCCAGCTTAGAAAAAGTCTGTTAAATTTGTTTTCTCCAGATAAATATAGGGCTTACAAAAAACATGATATATTGATTATCTGAAATCTGGATATTTAAAGTAATGATGTTATTTATTAGTAGTATATGTTATTTAAGTAATTATTTTTGAACTATTGATGGATAAAAAATAAGCTTATCCTTTATATTTTGGCCTTGAATAATTTTATAACAGATTTATTGAGATATAATTCACATAAAATTCATTCTCTATAAGTGTGCAATTCAGTAATTTTAATCAGTTTTCAGAGATGTACAATCATCACCATTATCTAATTTCAGAACAGTTTCATCACCCCAAAAAGAAATCCCATACCCATTTACTGCCATTCCCCATTCTTTCCTATCCCAGCACCTGGGTCACTACTAACCTACTTTCTGTTTCTATGGATTTGCCTTTATGTGAAATGCCCAGAATAGGCAAAACCATAGAAACAGATAAGTGGCCTTTTGTGACTGGCTTTCCAGATAAAAGGCCCTATAAGTGGCCTTTGTGACTGGCTTTCCTTCACTTAGGATAATGTTTTCTTTTCTTTTTTTTTTTTTTAGAGAGCGAGCGAGAGAGAAACAGCATGAGAGGGGAGAGGGTCAGAGGGAGAAGCAGGCTCCCCGCTGAGCCGGGAGCCTGATGTGGGACTCGATCCCAGGACCCCGGGATCATGACCTGAGCTAAAGGCAGACGCCCAACCATCTGAGCCACCCAGGCGCCCAAGGATAATGTTTTCAATATTCATCCATTATAGCATTTATTTCTGGGCAGGTTTTAATTTGAAAAACTAATTTAATTTAAAAGATTCTAAATTAAATTAATTCTACTTAATCTTCATGACAGCCTACTTAATTCTCTTGGCCTAGACAGGTTCTCCTAATTTATTTTAAGCTGTGCACAAAGGACAAAGCCACTTGAAGTTTAAAACTGGTCAAACCGATAAAAATTTACTGAGCATTTGCTATGTGTATGGCACAATGCTTGGCCCTTTAGAACACTGCTGTCCAAACGAAATGTAAGTCAGAGTAATTTTATTTACTTATTTTTTTAATATGATAGTTGACACACAGTATTACATTAGTTTCAGGTATATGACTTAGTGATTTGACAAGTTTATACATTATGCTATGTTCATCCCAAGTATAGCTACCATCTGTCCCATTACACTGCTATTAAAGTACCACTGTAAGTAATTTTAAATTGTTGAGTAGCCACACTTAAAGTAAAAAGAAACGGGTAACATTAACTTTAATAATATCTTTGGTTTAACCCACTATATCCAAATATTATCATTTTAATACATAATCAATATTTTGTTTTTTTCTATACTCTTTTAAATCTGGTAGGTATTTTAAACTTGCAGCACATCTCAACTGAGACTAGCACATTTTAGGTGATCAAAAGCTAAATGTGGCTAGTGGTTACTGTATTAGACAGTGCAACCCTAAAATACAGAAAGAAGTACGGGAAATTCTTTTTCCAACTCCTTATTTGAGTCCTCCACTTATTTATCATTCTCCAGTGAATGCCCAGACCTCACATATTGATATCTGTAACCTTTCATTTGTTAAGAAGGCAATTACTATTTCAGCAATTCAAGGCAATATGTCAGTATCCAATGAATGTTTTAAACAATAAGTGCCACTAGAATTTGAAAAAGAAGTCAGGAAGTTGCAGCATAAAAACCTTCATTAACTGTAAGGGGATTAACATAAGAATAAAAAAATTAAAAAAAAAAAAAAACCTTCATTAACTAATGCTTCATCAACAAGGTGCAATTATAAAGAAATGGTCTTCAGTAAAAAGCACACCAAATATAAATTTTGCTTGGGAATAAAGTATTAGATAGGTAAGATAAAGAGCTGTTCCGGTCTACTTGGCAGTGACAGGATGGTTGTAGCATAGTCCATCAAGCCCTGAAAAATCTAAAAGAGGGTCTCCTGTGTTCTCCATATTGCTCAGCTGTGGGGATGTAGACGTACAACCAATGTCCTGTCTTTGTACAGCAGGCCTCTGGAGCACTGGGGAATGGGAAAGCCCCAAGGTACAACAGCATACTGGATTGGGAAAGCAACAGTATCTAGCTCAACTTTCCCGAAAAGGTGAGTGGGAAGACAGAAGGAAGAAAACAGACAGCTCCTTCATGCCTTTCCCATCCTTCTCTTTTAAGCCAAATCTAACCCGAGGAAAAAACTAATCTAGGAAGATGGTTGTCCCAACCTTAAAGGCTACTACAACACAGAAAACCTTTCATATGAGGCCACAAAGAACTTACATAGTTTCTCAATTTGGATCCTGATTCTGCAGTAATAAATATCTGAAGCACTGCCTAAAATCCATGAGTTACTTCAGCGGCAGAACCACTAAATTCGTCTCAGGGGTCCTTGGACTATTCTAATTATGTAGCTTACTCTCCTTGTCTCCTTCTAGTGGAAAAACTATACAGTAGCAAGAACTCACCACCACTGTAAAGCTTTTCTTGGGGGTTCTTCCTCTTCCAGAATCTGGAGCACAAGTCATCTACCTCATTCACTTAGCACTTTATCACGGGCTGTTTTTTTTAAGATTTTATTTATTTATTTGAAAGAGTGAGAAAGCACAAGCAGGGGGAGGGGCAGAGGGAGAGGGAAAGTAGGCTCCCCACTGAGCAGGGAGCCCGATGTGGGGCTCGATCCCAGGACATCAGGATCATGACCTGAGCTAAGGGCAGACACTTAACCGACTGAGCCACCCAGGCGCCCCCTTTCATGGGCTGTTTTTATGGCATTCATTTCTTCTAATGATATCTTGAATGGTTAAATTTTATTTCGTGTTTTTTAGTAAGTTGTATCTCCAATTAGTCTGAATCTTGTGTTCATTTTTTTAAAAGATTTTACTTAATTTATTTGAGAGAGAGAGAGAGCATGAGCAGGGGTAGAAGCAGAGGAGGAGAGAGAGAGAATGTGAAGCAGACTCCACGCTGAGTGCAGAACCAATGAGGGGCTTGATCCCACAACTTCGAGATCATGACCTGAGCCAAACTAGGAGCTGGATGCTTAACTGACTGAGCCACCCAGGCACTTCATGTTCATCTTTTCTGATTACCTCCCCAATGCCTTGAACATAGTAAATCATCAGTAACTATCCATTTATTTGATTCTTCCTTTTGTCTCCTTTCTCTTCTAGTCTTTTAACTTCTCTTGGCAAGCCTGGGCATGTTCTAGCCCATCTTCCTTGAGAGGAAATGAAGTAGGGTTAGCACAATGGGGCACCTGGGTGGCTAGTTAGGTGTCTGACTCTTGGTTTTGGCTCAGGACATGATCTGATGGGTCATGGGATCAAGCCCACATTGGGGTCCCTGCTCAGCAGGGAGTTTGCTTGAGGATTCTCTTCCTCTGCCCCTCCCCCAACTTGCTCAATTGCTCTCTCTCTCAAATAAAAAAATAAATCTTTTTAAAGTGGTGTTAGCACCATTTCCTCCTACTGGGAGAACCCCTGACAAGCAGTGACTGGGTTTACATAATTAACCACTAATTATTTACCCTCTGCTAAGATATAAACTGGAGAGACTCAGGTCTATAAGACAGGTATATTAATCTAACACTATCACTCAATTAAAATGCTTTCTATTTTATAGCTCTATCTGATCCCTATATAAAAAGGGAAGGCAAAATTAGGCTAATGTGAAGATTCTTTCATCATTACAGGTATGTTTTCATTAATTTTTAAAAATTCAATATCATCATCTTCATTTTGTTGTCTTGGAATTTGTTATTCTGCTTCATTGTTTTGACAAATATCGAGCACTCATTATGTATCAGAAGGTTCCTTGGGACACATCAGAAAACAAAAAAAGGTAAAACTCATAAAGCTTATACATTCTTACACATATCTTCTGTATCATTTATACTTCATGCAATAAGGTTTGTTGACAAATACTGTTACTGAATCGCATCCTATGAACAGAGGTAGTGCTATATATATTAGTTATTGAAAAATCTAAAGATCAGGGGTGCCTGGGTGGCTCAGTCAGTTAAGTGTCTGACTTGATTTCAGCTCAGGTCATGATCCCAGGGTCATGAGATCGAGCCCTGCGTCAGGATCCATGCCTCCATGGAACCTGCTTAGAATTCTCTCTCCTTTTCCCTTTGCCCCTCCCCTCTCTCTCTAAAAAAACAAAAGAAAGAAAGAAAAATCTAAAGATTAAAGGGAACAGAAACTAAATATTAATGACCTTAGCAATTCACCTTTCAGTGAACTACTCAACAAAAACTGAAAAACCTGAAGATACACGATAAATACACAGTAACTCTAGAAACTGAAGAAATTTTTATCTTTCATGGATAGAATAGGTAAAAGTAGTATTGGCTGCTACTGAACTATTAACTGCTCTACAGAATAGGCAGATGTGGACAGTTTTGAGAGAAGGAAAATGATTTAAAATATGAAGAGGGAAAAAAATCCCTAATTAAAATGGAATGAAGGATAAAACATTACATCTCAAGAGAAGTAAGGGCCAGGAAAATCTGTAGCATGGAGATACCAAAAAGAGGAAGATGAAGGTAGAACAGTGAAGGGCCCAGAAGTGCAAAACAGATTTTCAACATGGCAACAGGCCTAAAAAAAGTATTTGGTAGAACTTTACAGGAGGTAAAGCTTATAGTAATGATAACATCAAATAGGTAGTACTTAAAACTGATATGGTAAGTAGCAAGTTTTAAGTTTTAAATAAACTAAACTATACAGATGATACAAACAAAAAAATGAAGCCTAGTCCTATTAATAAAGCCCAGAGACTCCAATAGATTTTCAAAGCATGTAAAAAATATTCAACCCCTTACCTTTAGGGAAGTCAGTTGATCTGCCCACATTTCTATTATAGGAATAAGATGTTCAAATCCACAATCCTGAACAAGATCTTTATTAAAATGTTGGGCTCCTCCTTTGCTCTGTTTATAAATTATTACTGGAGCTCTTGGATTGTGAACAATTGAATTGATGCTATTCAGAACCTTAAAAAAAAAAAAGAATGTTTTTAAGTTGAAATGTTTATCATAGTCTTATCAAAGTGATTTAGGTTAAGAGAGCACTTTATATGTCAATGTATCATCATTTTCAGAATTAATTTTAGGCATTAAGAAGTTCTTTAATAGTACTGACACCTGTAATGTTTACAGCAGTTTTATCAACATAATTAAACATATAAGTTCTAATGAGAACCAGAGACTTCAAAGAAAAGCTAAAATGCATTTTCAAATGATTTGGACTTTAAAGTAGATTATGAATGACCTATTACAATTCACACAGGGAAAAATAATCATCAATACATCCTTAGCTAGAGTCTCACATTTCTCTAATTCTATCTCCTCATATTTAAGCTAAATCAGATGTTGAAAGGGGGCATTTCCTGTTGTCTCATAACTTCAGTTAAGTTCAAAGTTCAAGGACAATGAATAATAAAGTCCAACACATTCTATACAGAAATCCTGGAAACATCATGCCAATTCTGGAAACCCCAGACCCAATTCAGAGAACTAATCCTTAAAATGCTGTTCCTCTACAACCACTCTCAGTACCAAAATCTGTATTATCAAGGTTCTACAGAGAAACAGGAACAATGTGTATGTATATAAATATACCTAAAAAGATTTATTATAAGGAACTGGCTCACACAATTATGGAAGCAGGTAAGTCCCAATTTCTGCAGTAGGCAAGCTTGGACCCAAGAGAGCCAATGGAGTAGTTCTAGTCTGAATGCCCACAGGCTTGAGACCCAGGAAGAGACAGTGCTTCAGTTCAAGTTTGAAGGCAAGAAAAAAACTGATGTCCCAGCTCAAAGGCAGTCAGTCAAGTGGAGCTCCTTCTTACTCAGCCCCTCTGTTTTAGTCAGGTCTTCAAATGACTGAATGAGACTCATTCACATTAGGGAAGGCAATCTGCTTTACCCAGTCTGCCAAATCAAATGTTAATCTCATCCATAAACACCTCACAGACATATTCAGAATAATGTCTGACCAAGTATCTGGGCACCCTGTGGCCCAGTCAAGTTGATACATAAAATGAACCATCATAAATACCCACATAATCTCTACCTAGATTTAACAATTGTTAACATTTTCCCATATCTGCTCACTTAGCTGAACTTTCTAAAGAAAATAGACATGATAAAACTTACCCTCAAATACTTAAGTATGCATCTCTTAAAAGTAAGCATATTCTCCTACAAAATCCTAACACATTATACATAAGAAATTTAACAGTAATTAGGGGCACCTGGGTGGCTCAGTCAGTTAAGCATCTGCCTTTGGCTCAGGTTATGATCCCAGAGTGCTGGGATGGGGTCCCACATAGGGCTCCCTGCTCAATGGGGAGCTCGCTTCTCCCTCTCCCTCTGCCGCTCCCCCTGCTTGTGCTCTCTTTCTCTCTCAAATAAATAATAAATAAAATCTAAAAAAAAAAAAAAAGAAATTTAATAGTAATTCCCTAATATCATCAATGCCTGGAGTAAATCTTAAGTATCTTTTTTTTTTTTTAAAGATTTTATTTATTTATTTGAGAGAGAGAGAATGAGTTAGAGCACATGAGATGAGGGAGGGTCAGAGGGAGAAGCAGACTCCCCGCCGAGCAGGGAGCCCGATGCGGGACTCGATCCAGGGACTCCAGGATCATGATCTGAGCCGAAGGCAGTCGCTTAACCAACTGAGCCACCCAGGCGCCCTTAAGTATCTTAGTATGTACAGTATGTGACTATAACCCCTCTGCCAAAAGCTATGAGTTCTACCAAGGAGAGGAAAGGAAGACCCAAAACAGCAAGTTTAAACAAAGAAGAGTAAAGCCATTTCCTTATTTACCACCATCAAGCCCAGACCATTTAATAAATAGCTACATAAGTATAAAAACAAGATACTATTTTGATCTCAAATCTTTGTCCCTACTCATACTTCAAGCTATATAACTCACAGGTCTCTTGGTACTAAGATTTCAGATGTTTACTGAGGTGCTTTTGTTTTGAGTTCAAGAGAGTATTTCAACATTTTCTTCTCTTGTATTTAAACACATTTCAATGGAAAAATTAATTCCCCTCCACAGAATTATTAATGACAGCAGAGCATATTCTTATGACTTGACCACAATCAGGTGAATGGCAGCAAAATATGTATTAACAGTGAGGAAACAGTAAAATGACAATTACGAGAGAGATGGGAATTAAAAAAAAACAACTCAAAAATAGGTCTTACCTATTCAGAAACAGTTTGTAGATACTAATAAACTCTTGCTATGGATAAAAACTGTATCTTAAGAGTAATCATTAGACAAATAGAAAAGAATTAAGATGACAAATGTCCTAAGTACTTGAAGAGAAAAAAAGACAAATCTCAACCCAGCAAATGTCAGGAAAAGAACAGAACCAAAAACCATATATAGAAAACAGAAAGATGTCAGGAATAAAAGCAGATATATGAGTTGGTCTCAATATCCATGAATGGTTTTATTCCCCTGTTAAAGGACAAAGCCTCTCAAATTGTATCTAAGAAACAAGATGAAATAAAAGAAATTCAGTTACATGCTGGGTACAAAAGAGTTATCAAAAGAAAAACAAAAACAAAAAAACAGTTTTCAGAAAAGTGCCTGGAAATAAAATCAACTCAGAGATATATGAATAACCAGCAACAATCAATTAGAAAATGTAATGGAAAAAAGGATGCTATTCTCAATAGCAATAAAAGTTATAAAATACCTAGGAAAATAAACCTAACAAAAAATACTCAAGAGCTAAATTTAAAAATATATAAAACTTTATTCAAGGCTACAAAAGAAGGCCCACGTAAAATTAGAGACATATTTCTGAATGAGATGATTCAAAACTATAAAGGTGTCACCTTTCCAAATATTAATCTAAAAAGTTAATCCAATTATAGTTCATCTCAATAGGATCTATTTTTGATTTTGACAAATTGTTCCTCCAGAAGAATAAATAGCAAAGGAAAAATTTTTATAAGAACAATGACAAGATTCTTACCCTAAAAGGTATCAAAACCTACTATAAAATTACAGAAGTTAAAAGAATATGACAATAGTATAAAAATGGAACAGACTAGAGAATCTAGACACAAACCTATGCATATGAGTAGATATGATAAAGGTTTCATTTCAATGAAGTAGAGAAAGAATGGTCTATGAGAAACTGTAAACTCAAATGCCTCTAGAAGCAAGGTAAGACCATGACTGAGTGAAACAAGGATGGCCAAGGGCTGTAGCTAACTGAAGAATACAGGCCCATATGTGACAGGGGAGAGGCTTATGCCTACGATATCTGCCCTGATAATGACTATGCAGGAATTTGTTGCCAGATTCTGTGGGCTTTTTTTTTTTTTAAAGATTTTATTTATTTATTTGACAGAGAGAGAGAGCACGCACAAGCAGAGGGAGCCCGATGCGGGGTTCGATCCCAGGACCCTGGGATCATGACCTGAGCTGAAGGCAGACGCCCAACCAATTGAGCCACCCAGGTGCCCCTGGATTCTGTGGGTTTTTGTTTTTTTTTTTAAGATTTTATTTATTTATTTGACAGAGAGAAACACAGCAAGAGATGGAACACAAGCAGAGGGAGTGGGAGAGGGAGAAGCAGGCTTCCTGCAGAGCAGGGAGCCTGATGCGGGGCTCGATCCCAGGACCCTGGGACCATGACCTGAGCCAAAGGCAGACGCTTAACAACTGAGCCACCCAGGCGCCCTGATTCTGTGGCTTTTTAAGAGAAGCTTAGAAATAAGCTTAGAAGTAAGAACTTAACAAAATATCTTAATTTTTAAAATATTGGTAATTAATTCAAAGTTTAAAAAACCCTGTGTGGGTCCAATAAAATATGAGCATAGGTCTAGTTCAGTCAGTACATAGGCTTAATCACTCATCTATTCAATAAATGGTCTATAAAACCAGCAAGGTTAGATCTCTACATCATACCACTTAGAAAATTAAAGTTTATATGGACTAAATATCTAAATAAAAACAAAACTATGTAAGGACCTTAAGAAAATAGATTTACATATATAATAACAACAGCAACAATAATAATAATTATACCAACAACAGCAAAAACACAAACAATAAAAAGGGAAATGGCTTAAGGGAGGAGGATAGGAAAAAGGATTATAAAATCCTTTATTTTTTAGTATACTTAGCTAATAAAATTTTATTATTTATTTATTTGTGAGAGAGAGAGAGAGCACGAGCAGGGGAGAAGGGCGGAGGAAGAGGGAGAAAGAGACTCCCCACTGAGCAGGGAGCCTGACCCAGGACTCTGGGATCATGACCTGGGCCGAAAGCAGATGCTTAACTGACTGAACCACCCAGGCACCCCAAAATCTTAAAAATCTTATCAGCTTTTTACTACCCTGCTTTGAATTAGGCCAAAGTCTTTCAAGGAGTAAGACAAAATCTAAGTCAAGCTACCTACAATGTTTTTAGCCAAGAAGATATGTCATGATAAGACAGGATAAGCACACACAAATACAAATATTCCTTACCATCTGATAATTTAGTAAACTGAGGTGGAAACCAAGTTTCAAATATAATAATAGTAGTGGATTTTAACACTCTACTTACATCAATGGACAGATCATCTAAAGAGAACATAAACAAGAAAATAAAGGCTTTGAATGATACACTGGACCAGATGGACTTAACAGATATATTCAAAACATCCAATCCTAAAACAGCATAATATACATCTTTTTCAAGTGCACATGAACATTCTTCAGAATAAATCACATATTAGGTCACAAAACAGGCCTCAACAAATAAAAAAAGACTGAAATCATACCATGCACCTTTTCTGACCACAATATTATGGAACTAGAAGTCAACCACAAGGAAAAATCTGGAAAGAGCACAAACACATGGAGGTTAAACAACATGCTACTAAACAATGAATGGGTCAACCAGGAAATAAAAGAAGAAATTTTTAAAAAAATACATGGAAACAAATGAAAATGAAAACCCAATGGTCCAAAATCTTTGAGATGGAGCAAAAGCAATCCTAAGAGGGAAGTATATAGCAATACAGGCCTACATCAAGAAGCAAGAAAAAATCTCAAACAACCTAACTTTACACGTAAAGGAGCTAGAAAAAGAACAAATGAAGCCCAAAGCCAGGAGAAGGAAAATAAAGACTAGAGCAGAAATAAATGCAATAAAAACTAAAAAAACAATAGCACAGATCAATGAAACCAGGAGCTGATTCTTTGAAAAGATCAACAAAATTGGTAAACCTCTAGCCAGGCTTATCAAAAAGAAAAGAGAAAGGACCCAAATAAATAAAATCACAAATGAGAGAGAAGTAACAACCAAAAGCACAGAAATATAAACAATTATAAGAGAATATTATGAAAAACTATGCCAATAAATTAGACAACCTAGAAGAAATGGATTCCCAGAAACATTACCAAAACTGAAACAGGAAGAAATAGAAAACTTGAACAGACTGATAGCCAGCAAATAAAATGAATTAGTAATCAAAAAACTCCCAACAAACATAAGTCCAGGACCAGATGGCTTCATATGCAAATTCTACCAAACATTTAAAGAAGAGTTAATACATGTTTTTCTCTAACTATTCCAAAAAATAGAAAAGGAAGGAAAACTTCCAAATTCATTCTATGAGGCCAGCATTACCCTGATACCAAAACCAGATAAAGACACCACACAAAAAAAGAGAACAGGCCAATATCTCTGATGAACACAGATGCAAAAATTCTCAATAAAATACTAGCATACCGAATCCAACAATACATTTAAAAAATCATTCACCACAATCAAGTGGGATTTATTCCTGGGTTGCAAGGATGGTTCAATGTTTGCAAATCAATCAACATGATACATCCCACTAATAAAAAGAAAGGATAAGAACCATATGATCATTTCAACAGATGCAGAAAAAGCATTTGACAAAGTACAACATCCATTCATGATAAAAACCCTCAACAAAGTAGGTTTAGAGGGAAAATACCACAACATAGTAAAGGCCATATATGAAAAACCCACAGCTAATACCCTAAATGGGGAAAAACTGAGAGCTTTTCCTCTATAGTCACAAACAAGACAGAGATGTCCACTCCTACCACACAGTACTGGAAGTCCTAGCCATAGCAGTCAGACAACAAAAGAAATAAAAGGCATTCAAATCAGCAAGGAAGAAGTGAAACTTTCACTATTTGCAGATGGCAAGATACTACACATAGAAAACCTGAAAGAATCCTCCAAAAAACTGCTAGAACAAATGAATTCAGTTGAGTCTCAAGATACAAAATCAATGTACAGAAATCTACTGGATTTCTATATACCAATAATGAAGCAGCAGAAAGAGAAATTAAGAAAACAATCCCATTTGCAGGGGCACCTGGGTGGCTCAGCTGGTTAAGTGGCTGCCTTCAGCTCAGGTCATGATCTCAGGGTCCTGGGACTGAGCCCCACTTAGGACTCCCCTCCTCAGAGGGGAGTCTGCTTTTCCCTCTGCCCTTCCCTCCCCCCCTCCCCCAGCTCGTGTGTGCTCTCTCAAATAAAATCTTAAAAAAAAAAAAAAAAAAAAAAAGAAGGAAGGAAGGAAACAATCCCATTTACAATTGCACCAAAAACAGTAAGATCGCTAGGAATAAACCTATCCAAAGAGGTTTAAGACCTGTACTCTGAAAACTATAAAATACTGATGAAAGAAACTGAAGATGATAGAAAGAAATAGAAAGACATTCCAAACTCATGGACTGGAAGAACAAATACTGTTAGAATGTCTATACCACCCAAAGCAATCTATACATTTAATGCAATCCCTATCAAAATACCAACAGCATTTTTCATAGTGCTATAACAAATAATCCTAAAATTTGTATGGAACCACAAAAGACTCTGAATAGCCAAAGCAACCTTGAAAAAGAAAAACAAAACTGGAGGTATCACAATTCTCGACTTCAAGTTATATTACAAAGCTACACTAATCAAAACAGAATGGTACTGGCACAAAAACAGACACCTAGATCAATAAAACTCAGAACAGAAAACTCAGAAATGAACCCATAATTATACAGTCAATTAATCTTCGATGAAGAAGAAAAGAATATCCAATAGGAAAAAGCTCTCTTTAACAAATGGTTCTGGGAAAACAGGGCAGCAACATGCAAAAGAATGAAACTGGACCACTTTTTTACACCATACACAAAAATTAATTCAAAATGGATTAAAGACCTAAATGTGAGACCTGAAACCATAAAAATCCTAGAAGAGAATACAGGCAGTAACTTCTTTGACATTAGCTGTAGCAACTTCTTCCTAGATATGTCTCCTAAGGCAAAGGAAACAAAAGCAAAAATAAACTATTGGGACTACATCAAAATAAAGCTTCTGCACAGAGAAGGAAACAAGGCAACCTACAGATTGGGAGAAGATATTTGTAAATGATATATCTGATAAAGGGACATATCCAAAATATATGAAGACCTTATACAACTCAACACCCAAAAAACAACCTAATTAAAAAATGGGCAGGATATGGGGGCAATCTGGCTGTGACATCTGTCACCCCACTGTTCGCCAGGGTTGATTCAGCTGATCTGGCTGGCTAGGCAAGTGTCCCTTTCCTCCCTCACCACTCCATGTGCATCCCTCCGGAAGCTGCAGGTTTGGTCAAAGAGGACAATCTTCCCCAATTGAGGAGGACTATTCTTCAGTCAAGGGTATACAAGTAGCTGCATTCCCCTACTAGAACTTCCAAACAAGCTCTCAAGGTCCATTTGTAGGAGAATGTAGGGTAGTCAAGTTTTCAAGGTTCTAGACCACATCCAAATGAGGCCCTACATGTGGCAGTCTGCCTTTCTTTAAAAAGGGGGGAGGGGGCAGAAGATATGAATAGACATTTTTCTGAAGAAGGCATACAGATGGCTAACATACACATGAAAAGATGCTCAACATCACTCACCATCAGGGAAATGCAAATCAAAATTACAATGAGATATCACCTCACACCTGTCAGAATGGCTAAAATCAACAACACAAGAAACAAAAGGTGTAGGGGAGGATGTGGAGAAAAAGAAACCCTCGTGCACTGTTGGTGGGAATACAAACTGGTACAGCCACTGTAGATAACAGCATAGAGGTTCCCTAAGAAGTTAAAAATAGAACTACCCTAGGATCCAGCGACTGCACTACTAGGTATTTACCCAAAGAATACAAAAATACTAACTCAAAGGGATACATGCACTCTGATGTTTATAGCAGTGTTATTTACAATAGCCAAATTATGGTAACAGCCTATGTGTCTATCAATTGATGAATGGATAAAGAAGATGTGGTATGTGTATATATATACGTATGTATATATACATATACACATGCATATGCATATACATGCATACATACATATATATGTATGTATATACATATGTGTGTATGTGTGTATACACACACACAAATGGAGTATTACACAACCATAAAAAATGAAATTTTGTCATTTGCAAGGACACGAATGGAGCTAGAAAGTATTATGCTAAGTGATATAAGTCAGAGAAAGACAAACATCACATGATTTCACTCATATGTGGAATTCAAGAAACAAAACGGGCACCTGGCTGGCTCAGTCAGGGGAGCATGTGACTCTTGATCTCAGGGTTGCAAGTAGAGATTACTTAAAAATGTAAAAAATTTTAAAAATTAAAAAGAAAACAAAACCAAAAAGGGAAAATAACTACAGAGAACAAACTGATGGTTACCAGAAGGGAGGTGCGGGGGGGGGGGATGGGTGAAATAGGTGATAGGGATTAAGGAGTACACTCATTGTGATGAGCACCAGGTGTTGATTGCATGGAAGTGTTGAATCACTATACTGTACACCTGAAACTAATATTAGACTGTATGTTAACTGGAATTCAAATAAAAAGTTGAAAAAAAAAAAAAAAGAAACCAAGGTTCACTACAAATAACCAGTCTCTTTGCCAGTTGTTCAATACCTGAAAGTATCTCTGGTCAATTAGGGCCTGCTGCTGGTTATCTTTGCTGGGTTCATCTGGTTTCTCTGGGTCCTCTGCCTTTTTTTGACTGATAAGATCCTGTAATCTAAAGGGGAAAAAATAAATCAAGATAAAATACTTTACTAGACACTGGATTAAGACGACAAACTGAGTCAATGATTCAGCTACCCTCCAACATCTTTAAATTAATTTTTTTTAAGATTTATTTATTTGAGAGACAGAGTGTGTGTGCATGAGCAGGGGGTGGGGTGGGGGAATGGGCAGAAGGAGAGGAAGTGGAGAGAATCTGAAGCAGACTTCCCTGATGAGGGCAGAGCTGACACAGAACTTGATCCCTAGACCCCAAGATCATGACCCAAGCTGAAATCAAGAGTCTGACTGAGCCATCCAGGCACCCCTAACCCTCCAACAGCTTTATGTCATATTTACATATATATACCTTTTATACACACACATTTTTTACATTTAATTTTGTAAGTCATATTGTCACTGGAAAACAAGAATGCCCCCTCAATAGACCACAAATTAGAAGAAATCGCTGAAAACAAAAGGGATCAGACTGAAGAAGAAAGTTCTAACCACACCCCAACACTTGCAAAAAGTAGAATAGGAAAGAACTACAGGAAATGATGAAAGCAACTTCCAAGGTACTCTGAGATTGGAGGCTATAGGTAAAGGGAGCAAGGAGCAATGCTCAGGGCAATTTGGGCTCTGTAGCAGCAAGAACTAGACAGTACGGTTCTTCCTTCTTTATACTGTATTTGTACCAAAGAACAACCAACAGTGATGCCTGGGCTAGTCAAGAGGGCATGGAAACCCAAGAGACCACTGTTCCAAGTGGCTACCAGAAATCTGACAAAGTTTCTTTGCCTAGAAACCTATGTAAGAGTGTATCCACCTAGTAGCAAACCCTTTCCCTTCACCAAATATCTCTTATGTCAGGCTGTAGTAAACATTCTCCTCCCACCCACCATGCCTCTGGAAAAAAATAGTCTCTGACTAAAACCCATTTCAAATTAACCACATTAAATTTGAGTATGCCTATCAGTTTCCTGCAGAACCCTGACTCATTAAATCCATTCATGACTCATTAATGAGCTTGACCTGCTATTTCTAAAATAGAATAGCAATATTCCTGGGCACTTGGGTGGCTCCATCAGTTAAGCATCAGACTCTTGATCTCAGCTCAGATCTTGATCTTGGGGTTGTGAGTTCAAGCCCTGAGTTGGGCTCCACACTTGTTGAAAAAAAAAAAAAGCAATATTCCATCATGTCATTTGCTGGCTAAAAAACAAATCAATGGCAGGGCACCTAGGTGGCTCAGTTGGTTAAGCATTGGACTCTTGGTTTCGGCTCACGTATTGATCTCAGGGTCTTGAGTTCGAACCCCGCGTGGGCTCCGCACTCAGCAGGGAGTTTGCTTCTCTCTCTCCCTTTCCCTCTTCCCCCTCCCCCGGCCCCCCCTCATCCTCTGCCTGTCTCTCTCAAATAAATAAACCTTAAAAACAAAACAAAACAGGGCGCCTGGGTGGCTCAGTCTTTAAGCGTCTGCCTTCGGCTCGAGTCATGATCCCAGGGTCCTGGGATCAAGTCCACATTGGGCTCCCTGCTCGGCAGGAAGCCTGCTTCTCTCTCTCCCACTCCCCCTGCTTGTGTTCCTGCTCTCGCTCGCTCTCTCTGTCAAATAAATAAATAAAATCTTAAAAAAAAAAACAAAAAAAAACCCCAAAACAATCAATGGCTTCCCACTGCTCTGTGAACTAAACCTCTCCTTAGGTCAGCATTTGAACAGCTCAATGCCAGTAGTTGTTACCCAATATTCCTCATGACTCCTTTCTTACCTCATCTCTTACTATTACCCTACAATTATCTAGTCTTCACTCAATTGATCTTCATTCAATTGCTTTTCTCTGCTCTCTGATGAGTATATGCCAAAAACAAATTAATAAGTGGAATTAGTTCTAGGTAAAAAGTCAATCTCCTTCATCCAGTAGGTATAAAGACCTCACAATCCATTTTCCTTTTTTTTTTTTTTTAAGATTTTATTTATTTATTTGACAGAGAGTGAGAGAGAGCATGTACGTTAGAGGGAGCACAAGCAAGGGATGCTACAGAGGAAGAGGGGGAAGCAGGCTCCCCACTGAGCGGAGAGCCTGACGTGGGGCTTGATCCCAAGACCCTGGGATCATGACCTGAGCCAAAGGCAGTTGCTTAACCGACTGAGCCACCCAGGCGCCCCTCACAATCCATTTTCCACCTGACTTCCCACCTATTTACCAAATTCATATACTTTACAGTTTTGCTGAAGGCAGTGCCAGGAGCATATTATCTAGAATACAAACAGGACACAGAAAAGCCAATATGCTCTCTAATGGGAATACAAGTAAACTGATACATCTGAATTTAAATGTTAGTTAACCTTTCACTCAGGTGAAAATGTTTAGCTTATCATTGAACTGTTTGCAAGTCTGATTAATAAATATTACGCTATAGATATATAACATTTTAGCTGTCAGTATAGTAACCTAAATATATAACTGAAAGTACTAGTTACAGTCACTCTGGTAAATGATATATGATTCAATTAACTACATGAATAAAGACATACCCTCATTTAATGACAATAATCAACTTATATTAGGATGGTGATGATGATAATTGCATTTATTGAGAACATTCTCTATGAAGAACTCTTTTAAGCACTTTACATTGTAAAAGAAGATTTCAAAATGGAGCAAGCAAGCCTAGCTAAGAGTCTCTTAAAATAGGATCAGGGGGCCAAAAGGGAGGAGGATTTTATGTATATCCTAATAGGAAGAAACTAAACTTTTAAAAATTTTTCAGCCAGCTGTGGCCCTCAGTCCTCCTCACCATGATAGTTTCAATACCTCACATGCATATTAAATTAACTATCCCAGTTAACCTAGTTTCAATCCGTTTTGCATAGAGGACCTAAAGGAGAATGGCACTTATTACCTTTCACCTTTATAATTCTACCTCCTCTTTGTCTCCCTCAAAACACAATTCAGGTTTCTACCTGAATCTGTGTCTCCCAGATTGCAGTTCTAATTGCCCAAATAAATATCTGTTTGTTTAAATTTTCAATCAGTTCCTTCTTGGTTGACAACATGCATACATTTCATCTCATTGTTTTTCTAAGTTTACAGAAGATGATGATTAGTGAAAGCTAGGGACTCATGGGATATTGACCTTTGGTTTGCCTGGTCTCACAGTAAATATCAGCCAAAGCATAATATTCCTGAAAACTTTGTATTTCTGCAAAAACACAAAGGTAAAAATAACAGAGCTCAGGAGAAAAGTAGTGTTAGAAACCAGACTACATAAAATTGATGCAGCTTGTAACCAGAGAACAACCACCGGTCGGTCCCTCAGGAGGTTAGACAATCCCAGTATGTCTAATATCCCCTCAGGGGATATTAAAAATGCACAGACCACAGAGCAGAAATGTTGGCTTGAGAATGCCAAGACTATGAAGATGGAAATGGATCCAACTCCAGGCCAAAGAAGCTGAGGTTAAAACAGGCAAGGGAGGAAGTGCAACTTGCCTCCAGCCTGGAGTCTGTCTAATGCAGAAGGTCAAGGAGGGAGCCCTGGGTGCAGCCTCTCGTTTTAAATTTTCTTAAAATAGAGCTGAAGGGGCAGTTGCCTATGTACTAGCAAAGGTTTTCCCCTTGCTGAAAACTGTACTACTGCTATTCTAATTCCTTGTACCTAGGAAAAATCCTGTGAACAATGTAATGTCTATTTGACACTACTAATCATTCCCTTATTTCCCAATTGCATATGATTTCCTTGATGCTTTAGAAATGTCTTTTAGCAGTATAGGCTGTACTCAGAAATATACTAGGGTTATTCTGTTGTCTCCAGAGCAGTGAGGAGGGCCTAAAGGCCATAAAAATTCCTTAAGAGTAGCTAAAGGATTCTTCACATACTTAACAGATACTTATTCCATGCAGCCAGCAGCAACAGCTATGTTTCTTTGTAGAGTCTGGGAAACCCAGCAAACTGCACTTCCAGCTTAAAATGTGCTGTGCTGTCTCCTGTTTTCTATAAACATCTCCATAAGATATGTTTCTATGTTCAGATATTTTATAGCTTTTAACTGTGTCTGGATGAAGCCTTTCCATGATTCATGATGACTCCATTCTGGAGATGAGGAACAAGCTGAAAAGTGGAATGCCAATTTTGTTTTAAAAAATCCTGCTTAGGGGCGCCTGGGTGGCTCAGTTGGTTAGGCGACTGCCTTCGGCTCAGGTCATGATCCTGGAGTCCCGGGATCGAGTCCCGCATCGGGCGGGCTCCCTGCTCGGCAGGGAGTCTGCTTCTCTCTCTGAACCTCCCTCCTCTCATGCTCTCTATCTCATTCTCTCTCTCAAATAAATAAATAATCTTTTTAAAAAATAAATAAATAAAAATTAAAAAAAATAAAAAATCCTGCTTATTGGGGCGCCTGGGTGGCTCAGTCGTTAAGCGTCTGCCTTCTACTCAGGTCATGATCCCAGGGACCTGGGATTGAGCCCCGCATGGGGCTCCCTGCTCCGCGGGGAGCCTGCTTCTCTCTCTCCCTCTGCTGCTCCCCATGCTTCTGCTCTCGCTCTCTGTCAAATAAATAAAAAATCTTAAAAAAAAAAAAAAACCTGCTTATTTTGCCACAAAGATACAAAACACATATATATACCAGTGTGAGCCTCTCAGAGTTATACATTCCCTGAATCCTTTTCTCCACATTCCTAGGACTTTTTATACGATTAGGATGAAAAGGGTGGTTCCCTTCAATCTATCAACTCCAGAGCTACAACTCTGAAGGCAACTGTTTCTTTAGGAGAGAAGTCCAGCTCCAGGCTAAAATCCTACATGTTATCTTTCAGCCAATTACAAAGGCTCTGCCTAGAAAGCCTCACGGGGGAAAGCTGCCTTCCCACACCAGACTTGGAGCACAGCCTATGCACTGCAATCTCTGGAGGGAGCTGCTGTCCAGAACTCAGCCCCCCTTACTTCTCCCTTTCCTTGCAACTCCCAGGCCAGCATTACTAGTCCAGATGCCTCCATCCTGAGGCATCTTTATTGGGGTGACCCTAAGGTACTTTTCACTTCTCCTTATGGGGTGGGGGCAGTCTTAACTAACCCACTTTTCTCTGCTCTGACTCAGTATCTTCCACTCCCAGGCTCCCACTAGGCCCATGAAACAGCAGGAGTCTTTTGTGCAGGGCTCCTAGGCAGTGAGATGTTTCCTCCTATCAGTGCAGCATGTCATTCACTGACCCTTGCCTGGTGTCATTCCATAGAGGAAAATGGAACACTAAAAATGGAATACTTTTTGGCTGCTTACACTATAGTAGTAAGTGAATAAAGCCTTGATTGTTCATTTCAGCTTGGTTCACTGTCCTAACCACCTCGCCATACATCAACTCAACACTAGAGTGACAGGATTCTGATTCTGTTTTCGCCTAGCGAAATATAAATATCACTGAAATTAAATGGTAATGATTAGTGTAGTACCTTTACCTTGTATGGCAGACCTAGTTGATCACCTCCTAGCAACCGAATTTTATAATCAACCTTGTTTGTAATATTAAACAAGAAAAGTCCATTTTTTCCCCACATCAAATAGACTCATTTGATATTGAAGGTGGTTAGTTGAAAGGCAACAAATCTAAAGCAAAAATTGAATTTTCTCAGGTTCTAAAAGTGAAAGAGAGAGCCTTTCCCCTCCTTTTCTTGTAGCATTTCCTTTGGAAAACTTGCACTTGTAAATCCTTTCTCTGTGTCTTTAAGAAGTATGTAAATCTTTTTAAGATTTAAATAAGCCTCCTGCCAAGTTTACATCCTAGGAATGTCTTTCTTTCTTAGGAGCCTTTGAACCACCTTTTTGAAATGTAGACATCTCCCTGTCTCTGCGGTATTTTAGCCTAGACTCCTGGCTCTAGGTTGTAACTTGCTGCTTATCATAAAAAACACGGGAAGCTTTATTTTTCCCTAGGATAAAGACAATTCACATACAATATATGTAATGGATTGTACATGCCTGGCTATATAAAAGAATGAGATTTCCTTCTGGCTGTGTAATCTCTTTAGCAGACTGCCTATAATGTACATCACAGTCTGGTTGGATGTTTATTCAGTAATAAAACATTTTTTCTACATATATGGAGAAGATTCATTGGGCTGACAGGGTATTTTATTTTAAATTATTTGCCTAACATTTAGTTCTTTAGTTCTCTAACATTTATGTTCTTTAAAAGAACACAGTAGTTCTTTAAAAAATATTCTACCTCTGCCATTGCAGAAAATAAGAATTTGAAAAGTTTTACCTTAAAAAAATGTTTTTCATCAGGTGTTTTGTTGGTTCTAATTAGTATGATGGTTAAGAGTTTGAGCTTTGGAGTCAGAATGACTGGGTACAGATCTAATTTCTTTCCAAGTTCTTCCACATACCATCTGTATGATTGTAGGCAAGTTATCTAACATTCCTAATTCCCTGTTTCCACATCTAGATTCTACAAAAGTTCCAAACCTAAAAAAAAAATTATTAATTTTTTAAATTCCAAATTTAAATTTCTTTTTTTTTTTTAAGATTTTTTTTTTATTTATTTATTTGAGAGAGAGAGAATGAGAGACAGAGAGCACGAGAGGGAAGAGGGCAGAGGGAGAAGCAGACCCCCTGCTGAGCAGGGAGCCCGATGTGGGACTCGATCCCAGGACTCCAGGATCATGACCTGAGCCGAAGGCAGTCGCTTAACCAACTGAGCCACCCAGGTGCCCCAAATTTAAATTTCTAAAGCACAATTAATTTCTTCAAAATTAAACAGAAAAATACAGCAGGGATTAAATTCTGAATCATAATTTTAAAGGTTAATCGTGAAAAGTCAATCTAAAGACAATAACCCAAGGGGCGCCTGGATGGCTCAGTCGTGAAGTGTCTGCCTTCAGCTCAGGTCATGATCCCAGGGTCCTGGGATCGAGCCCTGCATCAGTCTCCCTGCTCAGCCAGAAGCCTGCTTCTTCCTCTCCCACTCCCCCTGCTTGTGTTCCCTCTCTCGCTGTCTCTCTGTCAAATAAATAAATAAAATCTTTAAAAAATAATAAAAATAAAAAATAAAGACAATAGCCCAAAATGAACAATAACAAAGACATATACAGTCGATTCTTGTTATTTGTGGTAGTTATGTTCTATAAAGTCACCATAAACACTGAATTAGCAAAGATTGAGCCATTGCTCCTAGGGTTAATATAGTCAGTTTCCTGCATGCATCTGATAACATTTTCCTCAAGTGATCAATATATAAGCTTGTTTTATGTATGTCAATGTTTAAAAGCACCTTATTTAATATTGTTGATTAATTAACATTGAACTCATAATAGCACTATAACTCGTGCCTAAATGAAGTTTATCTAGCACATGTATTTTCTCTTTAAGCCACATCACAGCCTTCTTCCCACCCAGGAAAGGACACTACACAGTACTTCAACATTATGCTTAGTGGCCATCTTGGAGAAATCACCAACAAAAAGTGCAAAAATGCAAACAAACAAAAAAGTGGCACTATGACAACAAAAAGGATGCTTGTTTACAGTTATAAGAGCTGAAACAAGAGGACAGATCATCACCTTGTTCAACAGCTGGAAATGTGTATGTTGGGCATGTCCTCTCGTGATCATCAAAGTGCCACAACTACTGATTTGAGGGTTAAAAATAAATTTCAGCAGGTAGGCAAATTCACAAATATGAAATCTGTGAATAATGAAGACTGATTACCTATCTCTATGTATACATAAGTGCACATATGTATATGTGTGTGTGTCTTCCCTAATATACTTGCCTTGAAGTGAGTAAAGTTCCTTTGAAGAGGATCAGGACATGCCACTCCAAAATATGCCACTTGACATAGGAAATGTTTTAAGCCAAAGGAATTTGAGACATGGCAGGTGCAGGAAAGGCTCTCTGACCTCCTCCTCCTCTCCTGAAGCAGATCATAAGACCCTCATGTAATAGGTGCCCTCCAATACCCAGAGGAAAGGAGTATCTTTATTTCTGGAGACAGAGGGACTCCAAGAAAGAATCTGAGTTTCCCCCAGTATACTTAGCTCATACCCTTTTGTCCTATCATGTTTTTCTACAACTTTCCACTCTTCAACAAAAGTAGTATAAGAAGGCTCAGGCTTAACTGTTTCTTCAGGCTTTCATTTCCTTATGAAGACTTTCATATATTCACATATAACATCTATCTATACCTTCCCCTCTTTTTATCTCCTTTCATCCTCCTTTTCCCAGTTGCTTCTCAACCAGTTTTCCTATCTCATTTTGACACCAATAACGATCTAGTTATTCAGGCCTAAAACTTAAAGGAGTCTTGATTTTTTCCCCGAGCTGCCTATATCCACCCAATCCATCACCAAGTCCTATCAGCTCTACCTCCAATATTCCAGACACTTCTCACCTTTGCCACTACTGCCCTCTGTGACCATGTCACCACCACCTCTTGTCCAAACAGCAACTCTCATACTATTTTACACTTAGTACTTATACTACATCAAAATGGTCTTATTTATTTTTTTCATTGTCCTTCTCCCCTCATGCAATCTCCATGAGGTCAGGGACCTTACTATTTGGCTTATCACTGCAATTCCAGTACCCAGAATGCCAAGCAAATAGTAGGAAGTACTAAAGGTACCCAAAATATTAAGGAATAGTAGGAAGGGAAAAAAAGTGAACTAATGAATGCAGCCTTTCCGAACCTTCCATTTCTCTCTTCTTTTTTAGTTTTCCTTCTATCCTATCTTAATTTAACTCGGTATGTTAATCCTTGGATGTCCAGAATATTTGCCTTTCACAGTGGCATGTGTTGCCATGGGAAGGAAGAAACATAGTTGTCCCTGAAAATTGAATCAACTTATGCTAATACAAGTGACTTAATACATCTAATGCATATATTAACTCATATAGTTTTCAAAATATTTCCTCTCAATGCTCCCCACACTACCTTTTCAAGTCCCATTCCCTCGAATGAAAGAGTACACCTAGGTAATCTTCAGAAAATACTACTAATTATTTAGGACCAACTTTTTCAAACTCCTCTGAGACTGTGCTTTTCAAAGTCAAGAAAAGTACAAGTGAGAGATGTGAATGGCTCACTGCATTCATTCTAGTACTTTTGAAGTATGATAAGGCTGTGTATTATTCAGGTCACGACTAGCACCAACAAAAATTGGGGGCTTGTCATGTCTAATTTCAATGATTCGCTTGCAATTCCTCTATGGCTTCCAAAGACAATGTTCTAGTTAAAATCTTTGCCCTTGGGGCGCCTGGGTGGCTCAGTTGGTTAAGCGACTGCCTTCGGCTCAGGTCATGATCCTGGAGTCCCTGGATCGAGTCCCGAATCGGGCTCCCTGCTCAGCAAGGAGACTGCTTCTCCCTCTAACCCTCCCCCCTCTCATGTACTCTCTCTCTCTCATTCTTGCTCTCTCAAATAAATAAATAAATCTTTAAAAAAAAAAACTTTGCCCTTATTACATCAGGTAAATGCCTTTTTTTGTTCTTAAGATAAATATATAGCCAAATTCAACACAGTAGAAACTGTTTTTAAACTGTGTAACCAGAAATATCCTATTATGTCATCTCCCCCATCAGTCTGGTAATTTCAAGCTAAGGCCACTATGAGGTAAGCACGAAGTAAACTTACAGGTAATAAAAATAATATAATACAAAACCATAACGAATCTGTTAACTTTGGTAAGGTATAATTACTTGATGTCTTTCTTAAGGGCTTTCTCCAGTTTCTTCACCTGTTGTTTATAAAGTCTTAATTCATGTTGTGTGGGCCTGTAGAAAATAAATCACATTGAATGCATTCAGTTTATTGAGTAAAACTATAAGGATATTTAATAAATAAGGTATACCATGTTACTTGTCACAAATATGCTTATTAGAAACCTTAAAATATTTCATGACTGCCAGTGAGGTGTTTCTTGGCCACTGAATTTCTCGTTCCATGTATTCCCTGTTCAAAACTTTTTACCCATTTTGTTTGTTGTTAATCTATTACTTGTTTTTATAGTGAAATATTTCAAATGTACAGACAAGAAGAGAGAATAGTAAAATAAACAATGCTATACCCACTACTCGGCTTCACCAAAGTGAAATATTGACAGATTTGTTTTGAATTTTTTTTTTTAACTAAAACATTATACATATAGTTAAAACTCCATGTGTGTCCCTGTTAGGTAACCGCTATCCCAAATTCACTGTTCATTATTCCCATGCATGGTTTAAAATTTTTATTACATATTTATATAGCCACAAATTTACATATCATTATGTGGTAGGTTTTTTTAAACTTTATGTAAGTGGTTTCTACTTTAGGTATCAGTTCCTGCTCCATTTAAATATAATCTTTATGAGAACAAGTTATTTATTTTGGTCATTATATTACACCAGAGCTTAGGACCACTGTCCAACTTATAAGAGGTACTCAACAAACACTTGTTAAATGAAAAAAATCTCAACAATGTTCATTCCTTATTATTCCTTGTCAATGTACAGAATGTCATCCTTTTGTGGTGGCATGCTACATATAAATATACCTTGTTGTATGACATTTAAACTTTTTAGTTTTCTTCTCCTCTCACAACACAGGGATAAGATAGTAAGACATTATAAAGAAATTTGGGAATGTGAAACCTGCTGATATAAATCTGAATCTACTCTGCGTTCCCACCCAGTTTTATCTTTTTCAACGTGGGCTCCTATATTCTCACTTCCCTTCCCTACCTACGTGTGTTCTTGTTCCTTACATCATATGAGATACAACTAACTAAAATGATTATAAAAAAGTATGAGGTTTCCAAGATTAGTTTTACAGTAAAGGAGCTGGAAAGATTCATTTAACACCCCAAATCCCAATATGTGTTTACTTTCTAAAAGTTAAATAAAAATTACTTAAGTTCCTCTCACCTGGTTTCCAAATCTTTTTGGAGATTCAGCTTTTCACTTAAAAGTGCATCAATCTTGGATTTCGATTCCTTGAGTTGATTCTGTAATGACTTCAACACATTTCATAGAAAAGTAGTTAACTTCCCTAGATTATTATTTTACTTCCTAGATTATTATTTTACTTTATAAAAAAGTAATTAGTCTTATAGTCCCCTTACCATTAGAAGGCCTTTATAAGTTGGCGAGGCATCCAAACTTCTGTAGTCTTTTTCTTCTTCTGACGGACTTTCATTTTCTTTATATTGCCTGTGAAAAGATACATAGTGCGTACTTATGAAAAATCTATCTTCAAAGGAAAAAATACAGCTAACAAAAATCAACCCAATAAATGTTTGATAACCTAAACATGAATTTAAATTTAAGCCAAATTTCCTACTTGTTCTCAGAGAGAATGGTACTAGAACATACTACTACCCAGTATTACAGTACATATCTGTTCACTATCACCTTAAATTAAAACATAAGATCCATGTGGACCAGAACTTCGTTTTGTTCACCATTGCATCTCAACTACCTAGAAGAGTATGGGGCATAAAGGGGGTGAAAAAACCACTTTTTGAATGAATAAAGAAACAAAGCATACTGTTTTTTCTTTCTAGTACTTTTAGGTCACCAAAAAACCTATACGAAAAAAAATACACAGTATGAGTAGACGAGGCAACAGATTTAATAGTCCCAATTCAAGTCCTGACACCATTAACCCGATGCTATTTGAATAGATCAATCTCTCAGAATTTGTCTTCTGTCAGAGAAGTATCTATCACATCTACCTTACAGGATTGGTGTTAAAAGTAAGTACGGGCGCCTGGGTGGCTCAGTTGGTTAAGCGACTGCCTTCAGCTCAGGTCATGATCCTGGAGTCCCGGGATCGAGTCCCGCATCAGGCTCTCTGCTCGGCAGAGAGTCTGCTTCTCCCTCTGACCCTCCTCCCTCTCATGCTCTGTCTCTCATTCTCTCTCTCTCAAATAAATAAAATCTTAAAAAAAAAAAAAAAAAAAAAGTAAGTAAAATATATTAAAGCACTCATGTCCAGGAAATCAGAAATGAACTTCCAAAGTTACCTGCTTCCATTATCCAAGACCATTTTTAAAATTTCTATCTAAAGAGAAAGATGGAATTAAACAAGGGAGCTTCACTTAACTACTAATTCACTATAGGACCATTTTCCCTAGGGTAATTTTTCAAGTGTCTCTGACATCTGAGAAGAAAATGTGAGCCTAATAGGTTTTATTCCTATGTTACTTTCCTTGGCTCTTCAACATATCCACCAAGTCAGGGAAATACCAACAGAAATAACTAGCAATATATTTCATGTAATCTATATTGATGCAGAAACACTGGGTAAAAAAAAAGTAAAATTACATAGCTGAAAGCCTATCATTTTAAAATGTACTTTTCCTGTTTCAGAGATTATAGCACATTTGCAGTTTTCTTTTTTTTTTTTTTTTAAGATTTTATTTATTTGACAGAGAGAGACACAGCGAGAGAGGGAACACAAGCAGGGGGAGTGGGAGAGGGAGAAGCAGGCCTCCCGCTGAGCAGGGAGCCCGATGCGGGGCTCGATCCCAGGACCCTGGGACCATGACCTGAGCCGAAGGCAGACGCCCAACGACTAAGCCACCCAGGCGCCCCCATTTGCAGTTTTCTAAGACTTCCAACTTGTTAACTCTTGTATTCACATTTCTATTGCCTTGATTGCTGATTCCTTTCCGAGTTTGCTCATATATGGAGACAGAAAGTAATACCAGTCCATAGTATTCTGAAACTCCCTTCACAAGACCCTCTGGAAGTCTTCCCAAACCTTGCCCTAAATTAGAGCCCCCAAATAGTGTACCATAGGTGTGCTGTGCAAAAGAGTTATAGATATGGCAAGATATTCATCCCCCTCAGGCCTCAGGACAACTGGGTAGGGTTTAGGGTAGTCAGAGTTCTTGAACCAGGCACTCCTGATTACAGCTTTGTGTGTACCCCAAGTGTGGTACAAAAATATCAATATTTGTGTTTCATAATGAGAAAAACTTTAGACAACACTGCGCTTAATAAACAGGCGTTAAGCAGGGGCTTTTGCCTCTGCAAGAGGCCCTGTCCCATCTGTCTTCTTCCCTTGGTCTTGCTCCCCTACCTCTACAGGTACATACCTCCTTCTCCTGTGCTTCCTGTGTATCCTATGTAGGCCTCCAAATCCCTCATTTTCTCTCTTGTTTCAGCTCTTTCATCTCTCAACTCTTTCATCTTCTTTTCTTTAGTAATGTAATACTTATCAATCATACCCTCCTTTTACACTACTCCTGCTCCTTCAAGTGATAATAATATCCTATTTATAGATCTCAAAATTCACCTTGAAGTTGCTACAATCTCACTATCAAGTTTGTACTCACTCTTAGAAAGGAGACTATTGGGGTCTATAAAGTCAGTGAACCCTGAAAAACCCTCCTCTTTGGAGACTCTTCATCATTGCAAAGTATAAATGACTTCTAATTTTTTCATCTGTAAGATTATATATAATGTAGCTCCTATTTTCTTCCTATCTCCTTCTTCCTTAGTGAGAGACATTCGATCCAAATATCTGGCCTGAGCAAGGTTTTTATAAGCCAAACTATCTCACTTCAGCTAGGCCAGTGATGACAGGATTGCTAAGTGAAAAGGGAATTCCTTTCTGCCAACGTTCTCATTCCTCAACCAAATTCAACACTCCTCCCCAAAATGGACTCAATCCTTTTATCATTTATAGTCCGAGAACCCCACTTTGCACAATTTCAGAGGCAACTTCTCATACTATATCCCACATGATGGATTTCAAATGATGGCTATGCTAAATCTTCTCTACTTTTACTAAAAACCCAAACTCCATCATATATCAAGTCAGCAATCAGCAAGCTGCTGCCTGTGGGCTACATGCAGGCTGTGGATTTTTGTAATTAGAGTTTTACAGAACACAGCCATGCCAATTCATTTACATATCATCTGTGGCTGCCTTTGTGCTACAAGAGCAGGTTTGAAGAGTTGTGAGATTATACAGCCTAAAATGCCTATAATATTTACTGTCTGGCCCATTACAGAAAAGTTTGCAAACACCTAAATCTAGATTAGAATTTACTAAAGACATAGCCCAAAGGCTGCAACTGATATTCAGTTTGGACCATATAATATTTTTGTTTTTTCTTTTTAAATTTTTTATGACTACAGTTGACATACAATGTTACATTAGTTTCAGGCATACAACATAGTGATTCAACTTCTCTGTTTGTTCTCTATGCTCACAAGTGTAGCTACCTTCTATCACCTTACACTATTACAATATCATTGACTATATTCCCTACGCTTTCCCTATTATTCACGTGACTTACTCATTCCATAAGTGGAAGCCTCATATCCTTCTCTCCTTACCCATTCTGGCCACCTCCCACTCCCCTTTTCTCTGGCAACCATCAGTTTGTTCTCTGTGGACCATAAAATATTTTTTAAATCATTAATTATTGTGAATATTAAAAATCTTATTTCATTTATAAATCTTGAAAACCCAGCAAATCTAGCCACACTGAACTCACATTCTTACAAGGTATCAGCTGGCTAGAGTGTGTAAGTAATGGCCCCCTTCAGACAGATGGTAGATAGCCGTCCAATTTGCCACAGTCCTCACCTAGCCTGCTTCACTCACTTTCATTATTTTCTTGATTGTGTAAGCTTAAGTTCGCAACCTTTCAAGCCATTAAATTCTTCATTTTCCTTCTCTTTACTCTTACATACTATGACTATCCATTTTAGTGTCAAGTTGGTGCCCAGCTGTTTGGTCAAACACCAGTCTAGATACTGCTATGAGGCATTTTTTAGATATGATTAACATTTAAATCAAGAGACCTTAAGTAAAGAATCTTTCATAATGTGAGTAGGCCTCATGCAATTAAAGGCCTTAAGAACAAAGACTGAGACCCACAACAAGGAACTCTTCCCTGGGTCTCTAGCCTGCAGGCCTGCCTCACAATCACAACCAATTCCTTTAAATTAAATTTTTCTACCCACATAAATGTACATCCTATTGGTTCTGTTTCTCTTGAGAATCCTGACTAATCTACATATCTATAACCTCATCACCCAGTTTTTCTGTATTAAAGGAAAAAGTGCCTTCCTTCTTTCCAAGGCAAATGATGCCTTCTCATTCATTTACAGCCTACTTGGTCCAGTATGTGAAAGACTGCTCTCTATAGATTACTACGTCTATCTATAATATACCAACAAATGCCTTGAACTCCAGCCAAATTGGTTTAATCACAGTGCCATAAAAAAATCTACACTTCCATATCTACGCACTTTTGCTCATAGCATCCAAGTGGTCTAAAATGACTACCTTTTTTGCCTTTCTACTTTCCCAAATTTTACTTATCCTTCAAGCTCAAGCACAACCCTCATCTACTTTGTAAAGGCTTCTCTGGTCACCCCATCCAAAACTATTTTGTTCTTGTTCTAAACTCCTATATTACTGTCTGTACAATTTTTAATAATTACTCTATAATGACATTATGTGTATTAGTGTTTTTTAATCTCCTATTATTTTTCTTAATTATTAATGTGTTTACATTTTATCTCCCTTACTAGACTGTAAAATCTTAGAAGGTAAGAATCATATCCAAAACTTTGTCTCATCTCTGTAGAATCTAACACCATGCCTATCATCTAAAAGACACAGTTTCATTTGGAAATCAGGAAGTCTCTGAAGTTACTTGATATAATGCTACTTTCTGAATAGAATGAAACAAGGAATTGCTCTATCATTAGTTGTATTCTTCTGGTCTTCCCTTCCTCCCTTTTTCACTTCTTTCTCCCCTGCATGCTGGGTTTTGTTGGTTGGTTGGTTGTTTTTTTTGTTTTTGTTTTTTTAGAGTCCCCAAGGTGCTAGAGGAATCAGCAACCAGCACAGCTCTGCCATTTGTCCTGCTCTGTTTCTGGAAAGTCATTATTCTTGGGGAGAGAATACAAGAATGGACACCTGACAAAAATGGAGAATTTATCTGCATTGTTTATTACGGTATCCTAAGTACCTAAAACAACATGGCACGAGGTAGGTGCTCAAATATTTGTTAAAAGAATTATTCCATCTATAAACAATGAAACAAAACAGCTGTTTTAATGACCTTAAAGCACTTTGGATTATTTGGCCTTAGATATCCCTCAGTTATTTTAGGTTAGTCAAAGACCATTATCTTTATCTTTACCCTTATTTTTTTAATCAGAGGTGACAAGTGTGTTTTACTCTATATGTTTGATTTGTCACTAAGACAGTTTGTCTTTATCTCCTATAAATCTGCACACTAATGATGGTGCACTTCGGTGGGCAGCTAGTCTAATCCTATGCAGTCTGTGGATATACTCAGTAACTGTCCAGTGGCTAGATGACAACACTAGACAAATTATAATGCTTCGACAAACTAAAATAAATACTATTTCTTCTGTGACAAATATTTTGGTGATTATTAAATATGAATATTTAAAATGAATGCAACAATACATTTTAACATAAAAAGTAAAAGTCTTCAAAATCTTTTTAAAAAAAGAAATTCATAGTTACATATTAGGTAGATTTCCAAAGCATATTTAAGTTTCAAAAGACTATAAAAACTTTTGGTGTAATTCATGACTGGGTAATTAACTTTAAAAACTGTAAACAGGATTAGACTTACCTTTGTTTATGCAATTTTCTAATTTTACATTCATAGTAATCAATTAGGCAAAGCAACCTAGAAAACAGAAGATAAACTAAATTTTCAAAATGTGGTATTGGACCATTTACTATACTATTCTCTCTACATAATTTCAAATTACAGCAATAAAGGTACAGGTTATCTAGCAAGTTTTTAAAAAAAAATTTAAATGATTTTTGTCAGAAGTATTATACTAAGCCATATATTTTAATTTTGAAGTATGGATTTTAAAATAACCACAAGCATTATATCTCAACATATTAAATGAATATTTTCTTTGTCCCAGTTCTACCTCTAGCAACTGCTCCCACAGAAATATTTGTTCGAACTTATAACTCAAAATGAACAAAGTTGTTCACTGCACCATTATTTACAAGAGTGAAAACCCAGAAACATTGTAAATGTTGTAAATGTTCTTCAATAAGAGAAAAGTTAAATAAATAATGACACATCCACTCTTCGGAAGACAATGAAGTGTAGAAGAAATAATATATGTAAATTAAATTTGTATGTCCTAATAAAAATTGATAAGGAAAAAAAGTAACAGCCAAATGTAGAGTATTACTTTATTTGTGTTTTATTTATTTATTTTTTAAGATTTTATGTATTTATTTGACAGAGAGAGCACAAGCAGGGGGAGCTGCAGAGGGATAGGGAGAAGCAGGCTCCCTGGGGCTCGATGTGGGGCTTGATCCCAGGACCCTGGGATGACAACCTGAACCAAAGGCAGTTGCTTAACCAACTGAGCCACCCAGGCGCCCCTCTATTTTTGTTTTAAAAAGAACTAATTGTATGTGAAGTTGTATTTGTATTGCATAAAAACTCTGTGAGTTCTTAACTGGGTGATAATACCATAACCTAGGGGATAGTCTTGGTTGTCACACTGACTAGTTGGGGAGGGCGCAGGATGCTAAAAGTTCATCAACAAAACTGACAGCTATACTACACAAAGAACCATCCCACCCAAAATGTCAATGGCACTCCTATTGTTAAACACTAGGAAGGACACAAACCAAACTATCAAAAGTGATTATCTCTGGAATATGGGAAATAGGAGGAGTAAGCAGATATATTTTACTTTACATGCTTTTATATTGTTTGAAATTTTATAAACCTGTACTGCTTTTGTAGATTAAAAAATCCTCAAAAAAAAAAAAAATAACACTGTTTTCACATGTTATTTTTTTTTTAGAAAAAAAATGTTTTTTTAAGATTTTATTTATTCATCTGAGAATGAGAGAGAGAACACGAGAGGAGAGAGGGTCAGAAGCAGAAGCAGACTCCCCGCTGAGCAGGGAGCCCGATGCGGGACTCGATCCTGGGACTCCAGGATAATGACCTGAGCCGAAGGCAGTCACTTAACCAACTGAGCCACCCAGGCGCCCTCACATGTTATTCTTCTTAAAGCAAGAATTTATACTATTTCCCCACCTTGGGAAACTTCCTCTTTTTTTCAGAGCTAATTCAACCAATGGTGCTTTTAATATTTCAACTTTCTGGATTATTCTTTCAATCTTTCTCCATCTCAACGCATACCAGCTTTCATATTATCCTGTAAAAATGCTTTAATTTCCTTTATATCCTTCAAAAACCCTTTCCCCCGACCACCCCCCTTACACTACCATTTCATCTCTATCTTTTCCTTCACAGAAAACTTCATTCATTCTGATTGTTACCGGATACCTTCAATAAATTTTTAGGGAGGACTTAATTGTGTGTCAAACTGAGAATTCTGAGTAAGACAGTGAGAAGGCAAACACTGATGAGGAAGCATGTAACACTTCTTATCACCTCTCCTTCCTGAAATACTTTTGTTCCTTAGTTATTCTGACATCCAAATGTAACTCCTCTTCTGCCTACTTTCTTCCTTTATCTGAAATATGGAAGTTCTCTGGAGTTTGACCCTTCTAACTACAGGCCTGATATCTCTACACGGCTGACAAAAGGTGCCTAAGCACATGTCCATAAATGAATTCATCACTTTCCATCCCTCTTCCCCAAACCCAGCTTGAAATCTGGCTTTGACTCCTGTCCTTCTTCCAGTATCTACAGCCAGTTAGTCTTGACAATTCCTATCTTACCAACAGCTCTCCTTTCTTTTGGCCCTAATTCAGGCCTTTGCAATCTCCAACCTTGGCTATTACAAGAGATTATTAACTTGTCTTTCTATCTCTGGGTTTAATCTCTTTGATCAGAAATCCTGGGGTTTTGGGGCACCTGGGTGGCTCAGTCATTAAGCGTCTGCCTTCGGCTCAGGTCATGATCCCCAGGGTCCTGGGATCAAGCCCCTCATTGGGCTCCCTGCTCAGCAGGAAGCCTGCTTCTCCCTCTCCCACTCCCCCTGCTTGTGTTCCTGCTCTCGCTATCTCTCTGTCAAATAAATAAATAAAATCTTAAAACAAAACAAAAAAAACCTTTCCCTTACCTCTGCCTACTAAAATTCTATAGTTCCTAATAATCTAGTTTATAAGTTATCTCCTTCATGAAGCCTTTCTGGTCATTACCATATTCCTCAAAGGAAACGAATCTCTCCTGTCATGTCGACTTAGTATCCTATTTGCCCCATCACTGTAGCACATACCACTATCTGCCTTGTATTTTATTTACCTCAGTATGTGTCTATCTACCCAGTTAGACTATCAGATCCATAAATGGCATGAAACATAGTTTTACTCATCTGTGTATGTTCTATATTGTTTTTCCCAATGCCTTTGTAACTTTTTTTTTGCCTTTCTAACTTTTAACAATAGTTGTAGTAGTTACAACTCATGTATTTCTAATAAGGTTAATTCACAATTTTTAAGTTCTGTGTCTCAAACTGAAAATTAGCTTTATTAAAAATCAAATCGAATAGAGAATCTCTAGGTCATCAGATAAATTCACAACTGAATTAGCTTGACTTCATATGGTACATGATAAGTTATCTCAATGCTTTTCTTTTACTCACTGTCTGACTCACTCAAATTGGCTGGTTTTTGTACTTGTTTTCATTCCCTTTCCTCCATGTCTCTTACTCCCCTATTTCTCCCACTGTAATTGTCTCTCTTTCCTTCTTTTTGTTCTTCCTTACCCTTATTTTTCTTTCTCTGCTTTTCCCTTTTCAAAATTTATTCACACCTATCTCTATTTTTATGGTATTTTAATTGTAATTTTTAAATTTTTGTCCTTGTTCTTCCTTCAAAAGGATGAAAATTATATATGTGTGTATTCTTTCTTAAATAATTATCAAAATCTATAGTCTTAACTTGTTTTTAATTTATATGAGACCTCATTTATTTTTTATAGTAAAATAGAAATACCTAGTTAGTAAAGATCCCCAGTCCTACTATGTAAATACTTAAGACTAGTTAGAATGTAATTAGTTTATACTATTAAGTGAAAAAAACATGGTGCTACCTTTTATACAAAAAGGGGAAATATGAATATAATATCCATACTGCTTATATTTGCTAAAGATAACACAAAACATTTAAAATTACCTAGAGGGGAAGGTAAGGAATGGGGTCAAGGGGACAGAAATGAAAACACAACTTTTCTGAATATAAATAATTAGTTTTGACTTTGGAATTGTATTAATGTCTTACATATTCAAAAGTAAATGGAAAATAAAAAAGCAATCCCTAAACATTGAAAACAAATTGAAACATATCTAACTGTATATTAATTTGGTGACACAAACATACAAAGAAATATTTCAAGATATTTTAGAACACTGTATTTGTATCCTATATTATTAATGTCAAAGATAATTGCAAAGAAATTTAAATTTCATAAAGTAGACTTATTGTTAGCAGTAATTATGGTATTATTTTGAAGCTATTTTTATGTTATATAATAAAGCAAATAAATAGTTATATAATGTTGTTCTTAGGAATAAGGATTTCTAGTATAAAAGGAAAGTTACAATAGAATCAGAGTTTAAATAAAAATCCTGTAATGTTAACTTCAGCTGGAAAAAAATTAATGATTTGTTTTTTCCCAGAAATATACATAATTCCTTGTACTCTTCTAAAAAGTCCTAAACCAATGACAACATAATAAACATTATAAGCATGACAAGCAACCCCAACACCAAACTGTGGTCTCTAAAAACCATTCCTGACTAAAAGAAATATCTAATTAATTAATCTTAAATTTAATTTAGTTAATTCTAAATGTTTAGTGTTAGCTTTAACAAATATCTGAATTCATCCCCAAAAGAGCTCTGGGGCAAAAAAAAAAAAAAAAAATGTATAGAATATGCCTTCTGTCTAAAAGTAAGAAATCTAACAAAGATTAATGAGGTTGGGTCAAAGGTGTATAATACCAACATGAAGAAGTTCCCATTGGCCAAAGACAGAATAATATGATCATTAAAATCCAGGAGTTAATAATAACATTTGAAAAAAGAGAGGATAGCCACAAACAAAAAATCATATTGCTTATCACTGGAAATCATAAGGGCATCAACTCCTTACTCTAAAGAGTGGGAATTAAAATGAAAGAACTGAGCATTAATTCTACCTTCCCTGTAACAAACCACATAGGGCAACCAAACAGCCCCTAGTCAATAGGAAAAGCTTTTTTTAATGGAAGAATTCGGGGGGGGGGGGGGGGACGACAAGAGAACTGAAAACTCACCGTCTTGCAAAATCATCAATTGGGTCAACCATTAGATGAAGGAATGATGGGGAATTTTATAGCGGAAGGAGATTACTATTTAACCCCCTGAACAATCTTAGCATCCTTAAGAGTAAGTCAACTAGACAATATGTGCCTCCTGATATGTTACAGTTAGAAGCATACATTACCACCTATGAAGTATTTTGCCAGAAAATATTTGTATCTGAATTTAGCTCTAACTTCCAGTTTAGAGAAATAGAGGAGACAAAGGAATAAATTAAATGACCCAGTAAGGAAGCAAAATCTAGCATGAACTTCTCCAGGCCAAATGACCAGTTTCTTCCTTTGGGAGGGGACGGGGAGGGGCAGTAGAGAAGAGTGGGAGGAAGACTCCTCCAGTTTATAAGAGATATAACCATTCCCAAGCATAAAATCCGTTTAAAAAATGATAGTGAATCTAGCTACATATCAGTTTATATAGGATACATTACTGTCTATCCAAGATGGTATGAGGAACTCTTTTGCAGAGATAAGCAAACACTCTGTTTTGAGTGACAATGCGCTCTTCCTCCTCCTTTGTTAATCTATAGATATCCTTTTGCAAAGAAGCAATAGTCTCTTGTTGCTCCATTCGTTTTTCCTTATAATGCTGACATTTTGCCTGTAAGAAATTTTTCAAAAAACATAATTATGATACGTACATTTAGGACATGGTGTCCTAACAATATTGTCCACAAAGCCATCTTCAGTTTCTACTGAGATACTTCATTCAAGAACTTCAAGAACTGTTTTTAAATGGGTGCAAGCTCCAAAAACATTAATAAGTCATAAACACAAAAAATATAACAAGTAAAACAGGAAAAATACAGTTTATAATTAATCACATGCATTCAAGTTTTTGTAATAAGTAAAGGAACTCCATAAAACTGATATAATTTCATGTATAGGTTTAGATGAAAATAATAATCAGGAAGGGACCAATATTAAGGATGTTAAAAAGAAAGAGGATTTAGAAACAAACTGAAGGTTTCAGAGGGGATGGGGTAACACGATGATGGGTATTAAGGAGGGCACATGTGGTGAGCACTGGGTGTTATACACAACTAATGAATCACTGAACACTACATCAAAAACTAATGATATACTATATGCTGGCTAATTGAACATAATAATAAAAAAAGAAATATAAAAAAAAGAAACAGTATTTAAAATTCAGATTCTTAAGTGATGATTCAGGATTTCAGATGGTTTGATCACCTTAGGCAATTATGCAATATGGGAGACAGTAAACTCAGAGTAACTCCCTAATCAGGATTATTATTAAGAAATAATATATACCCCAAGATTTATACAAAGGAATATAAATCTTGGACACTCTTTTCCTTGTCTTCAATGAAATATCACTGGCCTGGTTTCCCTTTATTCCCTAGCTTCAATCCTTCAATGTCCCTTGAAAGCTCATTATCAATAGCACCACCACTGTTGTTATTAATACACTTTTTATTAAGTTCAGTGAGAAATCCCATCCCCATCTAATCTGTATATAACTAAGACATACCATTTTCAGAAGAGAATGCCTTGTCTAAGCACATGTTCACCTGCCCATAGTGTCAAGTTTTCTGAGACTTAGATAACCTCAAAGGGAAAAGGGGACTCAGCTTCTGATACCATAACAACTCCCCGTAACCAGTGATCATCTGCCTCAGCCCCAATCTGGAAGCCAAGTGATGTGGGTCCCTGTTCCACCTGTATCTATACAGTAGCCATAAAACTAGAACTAATAATTCAGTTTTGCAAGGTTGTAGGTGTAAGAGCAATATACAAGAATCAACTGTATTTCTCCTAAGTTATTCTATGAAGCCAACATTACCCTGATACCAAGCCAGACAACACAAGACAAGAGAACCACAAACCAATATCCCTTAAAAACACTCATGCAGATAATCACCAACAAAATACTAGCAAACCAAATTCAGCAGCATATTAAAAGGACTGTACACCAGGACCAAGTGAGATTTATTCCTGGAATGCAAGAATGACTGAACATACGAAAAATCAGGGGTGCCTGGGTGGCTCAGATGGTTAAGCGTTTGCCTTTGGGCTCAGGTCATGATCTCCAGGTCCTGGGATTGAGCCCCACATCGGGCTCCCGGGTCAGCAGGGAGTTTGCTTCTCCCTCTCCCTCTGCCTCTCCCCCTGCTCATTATCTCTTTCCCTCTCTCTCAAATTAATAAATAAAATCTTTTTTAAAAAATATGAAAAATCAAATGTAATACACACTAACAGAATGGAGGAAAAAAACATACGATCATCTCAACTGATACAGAAAAAGCATTTGACAAAATCCAATACCTTTCATGATAAAAACACTCAACAAACTAGGAATAAAAGGAAACAATCTAAACATAATAAAAGCCATTTAGGAAAAACCCACAGTGAACCTCATACTCAATAGTGAAAGACTGAAAGCTTTTCCTCTAAGATCAGAAACAAGGTAAAAATGCCTGCATTTGCTACTTGTATTCCACATAGTACTGGAAGTCCTAGTCAGAGTAATCAGCCAAGAAAGAGAAATAAAAGGCATCCATTTTGGAAAGAAGTAAAATTATATTTGCAGATGATATGATCTTATATGCAGAAAATCTAAAGTGTCTACAAAAAAAAAAACAAAACAAAAAAACCGTTAGGACTAATAAATGAATTCAGCAAAGTAGCAGGATATGAAGTCAACACAGAAAAATCAATTGCATTTCTATACACTAACAATGAACAATCCAAAAGGGAAATTAAGAAAACAATTCCAGAGATGCCTGGGTGGCTCAGTCAGTTAAGCTTTCAACTCCTGATTTCAGCTCAGGTCATGATCTCAGGGTTGTGAGATCGAGCCCCATGTTGGGCTCCACACTCAGTGGGAAGTCTGCTTGAGATTCTCTCTCTCCCTCTGCCCCTACCCACCCCCACTCTCTCTCTCTCAAAATAAATAAATCTTAAAAAAAAATTTCATTTACAATAGCATCAAAAAGAATAAAATAGAAATAAACCAAGAAGTCAAAAGACTTATACACTGAAAATTTAAAAAGGCGGCTGAAGGAAAGCAAAGAAGACACAGACGAATGGAAAAACATTCTGTGTTCACAGACTGGAAGACTTAATATTGTTAAGAGGTCAATACTACCCAAAGTGATCTACAGATTCAGTGCGACCCCTATCAAAATCCCAATGACATTTTTTGCAGAAACAGAAAAATCGGTCCTAAAGTTCATATGGAATCTCAAGGGACCCCACACAACCAAAACAATCTTGAAAAGGAAAAAGTTAAAGCTCTCACACTTCCCGATTTCAAAGTTTACTACAAAACTACAGTAATCAAAACAGTGTGATACTGGCATAAAGACAGATGTATATACTAATGGAGTAGAACAGAGAGTCCAAAAATAATCCTGTGGATATAGGATCACATTATTTTCATCAAGAGTACCAAGACCACTCAATTAGAAAATAATAGGCTTTGTTGTTGGAGAAACCAGATATCTATATGCAAAAGAATTAAGTTGGACCTTTATCTAACACCATATACAAAAAAAATTAACTTAAAATGGATCAAAGATCTAAATATATGAAATAAAACTTTAAAACTCTTAGAAGAAACATAGGACAAAAGCTTCATGACACTGCATTTGGCAATCATTTCTTGGATAGGACACAAAAAGCACAAGCAAGAGAAAAAAAATAGATAAATTGGACTTCATCCAAATTTAAAACATTTGTGCACCAAAGGACACTATCAGCAGAGTAAAATGACAGCCCACAGTATGAGAGAAAATATTTTCAAATAATATATATAAGGAGTCAGTATCCAGAATAAAGACCAACAACAAAATCCAATTAAAAAACAAGGAAAGGACTTGAATAGACATTTCTCTAAAAAACATACACAAATGACCAATAAGCACCTGAAAAGAATGCTCAACATCACTGACCATTAGGAAGATGCAAATAGAAACCAGAATGATACCTCTTCACATCCATTAGGATGGTTACTATTGAAAACACAACAAAATAAAAAATAACGGGGCTCCTGAATGGCTCAGTCGGTTAAGTGTCTGCCTTCGGCTCAGGTCATGATCCCAGGGTCCTGGGATCGAGCCCCACGTCAGGCTCCCTGCTCAGTGGAGAGCCTGCTTCTCACTCTCCCTCTGCCTGCCACTCTCTCTCTCTGTCAAATAAATAAATAAAATCTTTAAAAAAAAAAAAAAAAAGAAAGAAAATAACAAGTGTGGGTAAGGATGTGGAGAAACTGAAACTTTAGTGCATTGCTAGTGGAAATATAAAATGGTACAGCAACTCCAGGGAATATATTGCAGTTCCTCAAAAAATTAAACATAAAATTACCATATGACCAACAAATTCCCCTTCTGGATATAAACCCAAAAGAACTGAAAGCAGGGACTTGAATAGCCATTTGTATACCCATGTTCACAGCAGTATTATTCACAATAGTCAAGGGTGAAAACAATCCAAGTGTCTACTGATGGATTAATGGGTAAACAAAATGTGGTATATATACACAAAAGAATGTTATCTGGCTTTAAAAAGGAAATTCCAACACACGCTATAACATGGGTAAATCTTGAAGACATTTTGCTAAAATGAAATAAGTCAGTCACAAAAGGACATATATTGTAGGATTCCACTTATATAACGTATCTACAGTAGTCAAGTAACAAGACAGAAAGTAGAATGGTGGTTGCCAAGAGTTAGAGGTAGCAAAGAATGAAGAGTTACTGTTTAATGAGGATGGTGTTTCAGTTTGGGAAGACGAAAAAAGTTCTGCAGATGGATGGTGAGGACAGATGCACAATAACATGAATGTACTTAATGCCACTGAAGTGTATATTTTTAAATGGTAAAGTTTATGTTATGTATAATTTACCACAACAGAAAAAGGTGAAAAATCAATTTCTCTGTATATACTAGCAATGAACAGTAAGAAATTAAATAGAAAATTGCAGCATCTGGCTGGCTCAGTTGGAAGAGCATATGACTCTTGATCTAGGGGTCTTGACTTTGAGCCCCACACCGGGTATAGAGATTACTTAAAAATAAAATCTTTAGGGGTGCCTGGGTGGCTCAGTCGTTAAGCGTCTGCCTTCGGCTCAGGTCATGATCCCAGGGTCCTGGGATCGAGTCCCACATCGGGCTCCCTGCTCGGCAGGAAGCCTGCTTCTCCCTCTCCCACTCCCCCTGCTTGTGTTCCCTCTCTCGCTGTGTCTCTCTCTGTCAAATAAATAAATAAAATCTTTAAAAAAAATAAAAAATAAAAAATAAAATCTTTAGGGTGCCTGGGTGGCTCAGTTGGTTAAGTGCCTTCGGCTCAGGTCATGATCCCAGGGTCCTGGGATGGAGCCCCACATCAGGATCCCTGATCAGTGGGGAGTCTGCTTCTCCCTCTATCCCTTCCCCCTGCTCATGATCTCTCTCAAGCGCTCTCTAATAAATAAAATCTTTGAATAACTAATTAATTAAAATAAAATAAAAATTTTTAGGGGCACCTGGGTAGCTCAGTCGGTTAAGTGCCTGCCTTTGGCTCAGGTCATGATCCCAGCTGGGATCCAACCCCACATTGGGCTCCCTGCTCAGCGGGGAGCCTGCTTCTCCCTC